AAGTTCGGACGGGCTAAGACCGGTGCTGAAATTACCAGGGAGAAGTACGCCTGCTCGACGATAAGATTCGTCGAGAACGTCTTCTCCATTTCGGCCGAATGTCGCAGGATAACAGGCGTTTGCGAGCATCTGTATTTCCTCGGATGACGCGTTTGATAGATTGATACTGTGTTTGCCATGGTAAGTTTTCGTTGATATGTTTTATCGTTTAGGGGGTAGAAGTACCGACGCGAAACTCCATCTCTCCCCTCAAAGAAGAGCACAAGCTGTTCGGCAGGCACAGTGATTGTCCCGCTAATGTACGGAGGCTTAGTTGCTGAGATATCCCGCAGAGCCTTCAAGTTCATATTCTCGTCAAGGCTCAATGCCGATGGGGTGGATAGAGAAGTAGAGCGACTCCTGCGACCGAACAATAGTCTCGGAAAACCTGAGTAACTGCCACTACTGAAACAGACTTTGTCCGAGGGGCGAGCCTTGAGGAGCCGATTCCTGTACATAACCGGAGCAGTCGGAGCTTTTCCAGTGATGGACCGTAGGGGCAGGCTATGGAGGTCGTATTTGATATTCTGTTTCAAAAGGAACATGATTCCCCAGCCGAATTGCTCAACAACTTGAAGGAAGTCAGAGAAGCGAGTGGCCGGAAGATGGCACAGTAGTGATCGGAAGCAAGGAGCTCGCTGTTAGGCTCAAGTGCTTTCAAATCTATTCTGGATATAGGAGCTTTGTGCAAAACAGGGGGACAACTGGTACATCGACGTCATGTCAAGAATGACCACACCCAAAGTTTTCTAGTACTTTCTATGCGGAACAGGGTTAAAATAAGATGATTTGGGACCAATTAATTACAGACAGACGTACCAGCAAGGCGGATAAATATGAAAAGTTTGAGACTGCACTCTGAACAGATGGTCGCAAAAAGTCTCTCTGGCGGGGAGTCGAACCCCGCTCTCCCGCGTGACAAGCGGGTGTACTAACCGATATACTACCAAAGACTTGTTAAATGACTGTGCTAGCATATTTATAAGGAGCCATGTTTGCCGAATGCTCAAAGAAAATCGCATTGTAACTACCGCAGGGCACAAGCAATAGTGTACAGTACACAGGTGTACGCTATCACGCAAACCTAGTTGACCTGCCGTAGCTCACTTGGCCTCACTCAACCTCCTCACCCACTCAACAAGGGCGCGCACCGGCCGCCCTGTCATACCCTTCTCCTGGTACGGGTGCGTCCGCGTGAACTCCATCGTGCCCGCAATGTCGATGTGCGCCCACCTCACGCTCGGCTCGTCGCCCTCGATGCCCTTGACGTGGCTCTTGAGGAAGAGCGCGGCCGTGCATGCGCCTGCGGGTTTGCCACCGTACTGCGTCATGTTACAGCGCACCATTAGAACAACAGGACTGGTAGAGGGAGGGAGGGAAGACGCACGTTGCATAAGTCCGCGTTGGAGCTGTGAATCTGCGGACCGTATTCCTCGTCGAGCGGCATGCGCCAGAACCGGTCGTACTCGGTCTCGCCGGCCTCGTAGAGCTGCTTCCAGAGCTCATCTGATGTCTGTTCCCACACCCCGTGAGCACTTGGAGTCACGGCGACAGACAGAAATAAGGACGCACCGAGAATACACCGGTGTAGAGCTCGCCGAGCGCGGTGTCCATTGCCCTGTATTTCTAGCTTAATTTCAAATCTCAGAATGGACGAGGGGGACATACCCAGTGAGCGTAGCAACGTCGATGACAGTGTGAGCTTTGAACTCTGTCGATGCGTACCACAGCCCATCAGCCAAGACGAGACGGCCCTCAGCGTCCGTGTTGTCAATCTCGACGGTCTGGCCGTTCATTGCATATACGCTATCGGCCCACACGTTAGATATCAACCATGGAATCTGTCGAAGGAGCCTCACACGTCGCCGGGCTTGTTCGCCGATGGTCCAGGCATGTTCTCGGTTAGCATGCAGATAGCGACGACGTTGACACTTTGCGACAGTATATCAGCTCAGTTGCTCGAGTAGAGGGAACGGACGGGCAACTCACGGGAGCTTAAGCTCAGCAATAGCCCTCATAGTTCCAATAAGGGAGGCGGCTCCACCCATGTCTCCCCGCATGAGCTTCATGCCCTGTAGACTATCATTAGCACCAGGAGTGAAACGAAGAAGGTAAATTAGCGTACCGAGGCGGGCTTTATGCTGATTCCTCCCGAATCAAACGTGATGCCCTTGCCAACGAAGGCGATGGGCTGGGCATTGTTGTCTTGCGCACCGCGGTAGTGGCTAAAGGCGCATCAAGTTCAGATTATACATCCAAAAAGGACTTGAATGAGGGAGACGCACATCTCGACGAGCTGGGGAGGCTCGTTTGTGCCCTTGGCCACGGAAAGGAAGGTGTTCTGAGAGAAAAGTCTCAAGTGTGAGCAGAAGGAAGGGACTGCACGGAAGGAGGGATGGAGCTTACCATGCCCTTTCGTTTCGCCCACCCTGCATCACGGACGATGACCTCGGTGTTGGGGAGGGCATCAAGAAGGTCCGTCGCTCTGTTGGCGAAGATCTGCAGAGAATGTATGAGAATAAAGCCAGTCTTGGAACAAAGCATAGGATACCGTAGGCGTCATCAAGTTTGCGGGCATCTCCATGAGCTGAGATAGTGAAGGACATACGGTCAGCGATACATCAAAGGCAAGAGTAAGTGTCTACTCACGGTCCGAGCAGTGTTCTGCGCACGCGCATAGACCTCGCCGCGCGTCCAGAGGTCGTCAGCTTTGAGAGGCGAGAACTTGTACTTGAGGCCCTCCTGCTTCGCTGAACCGCTGCCAGAGTACTCGCGAGGGTCGAAGGGCGAGTTTTCGGGTTTGGTCTTGAGGGTAAAGTCGTAGCCCGCAAGGTGCGCAGCCACGGCTGCAGACAGGCGAAAAAACAAAGTCAGACTCTCGGCCACTAGCAGTGCTATCGATAGAGCATGTGTGAAGAAACTCACCGGCGGCATGCGGGTCCTCAGAAGCGTCGACGACGACCTCCGACACAGCGTTCCCGAGCCTCTTGAGGTCCTTCACACCACCCCCGACTGCTCGTCTCACAACCTCCCTCTTGTCGTCTCCCTTCTTGTTCGCAAACTTCTCGCCTAGCGAGACGAGGGATGTGACGCCTGCCTGGGGGTAGAATGTATGCGTCGTGCCAGCCTTGGGTGTCTTCTTCAGCGGAATCTGCGCCCAGAGCTTGCCCGCATCGACGTCCGCAACAGAGCTCGTGGGTGCTTCGGGGTTGACGGGGAGGACATATGCTTTTGAAGACATGAGTGCGTGGTTGAGGGTGAGGCTGGAGTTGCGATGAGAGGAGACACCAAGGTTGGACGATCGATAAGCGTTGACGGCACGGAGCCGGGCAGATTGGGACGGGAGCATGTGCATGTGAACGAGGGTGGTTACCACAAATACTACTCCAGCGCGGCTCGCGGGTCACAGGAGGGGACGTCGATGTCAAAATCCATGCTCACGTCGGACGCGTCGCGTTTTTTGCGACCGGAACACGACCCTGACTTCGGCTATTGCGACCACCTTCGCGTCATCGTGTCCCATCAGATGCTCAATTATCCATTCACCTACCTTATAACCTTACTCTCTGCAATTTTCTCTACTCTGACCTTCCATTCTCAGATAACCAAAATATGTCCGAAACACTAGGAGAGTTTACGCAACATTGTCTTGCCTGCCAAACCGATAGAGCAAATCGTTATCATCGATAGGACATAAAGCACTCGTGTACGGTACATGTCTAAATCTCGAACCGTCCTTCATAACCCCGTTCCACCCATCCTCGAATCCAAAGGCACTCATACACAATCACCGACAGAAAGAACGACAACGGCAAGGAAACGAAAACATGAGATCACCTGACAACGATACACCCTGGACCACACCAAATCCCAAGTAAAAAGGTCAGACGGACGTAAAAAGAGGAGCAACTCGGGATCCAAGAAAGTCCATAGTATGTCTCCCGCCCTCACAGCATGTAAATGTAAACGGAGAAAAGGCCGCAGCAGCCGGCCGGCCCCTTGTATGCGATTGACCAGCGATCTGTATTGTACAGGAATAGGGGCGTCTAAGATGTATGGTGTATGAAATGTAAGCCAATGTGAGGTGGAAGGTAAGGATGCTGGCGTCGGCACCAGCCAGGAAAACGTAGCCTAGAAATTCGCGCGAACTCTTGGGCTTGAAGGCGAATGTGCATGAGCTGGTGAGGTGGTCGGGCACGACTCGGCCGATCCGATGAAGGCACGCCCGTCGCTCTACGTGCCAGCCAGCATCCAGCAAACCGCGAGGCGCAAGGCAAGGCAAGCGTATGAGACGGGAAGGAGGACCCCAAGTCATCTTTAGGGTGCGCATCTCGGCGATAGAGCGGCCGCATAGCATTGCTGAGGCCTCGAGGATCCGGCGGTCGCAGAGAACCCCATCGATGAGGGACTTTTGGAGGAAAGGTCACCGGGGCGCGCACGTGGTCCCGCTGTGCTACGACGTCTCAGTCTGCGGGACTGGGGTGGGTACATGCTCCGCGAGGAGTAAGTGGGATATCGCGAACGGATGGATGTTGGGTACGCGGAAGATGGGGGATGTCGGTCGGGAGGAATTGCGAAGATGGCTTGCTTAGATGGATAGATGGGGGGAATGCGATATCAATAATGTGTTAACTTGTGTTTTAAGTGAATACAGTCCGTGCTGGGGGGTCGCAGGAGGCGTTGGGTATATTTAGAGTATATCCCCATGAGTTTGGCAGAGCAACTTGAACGAGAGCAAGATCGACGATATATGCAGGATGCGAGATGTGCGTTGGGCTGGGTAGTCTGAAGGCGTCCGGATGCAGTAATAATGACGGCGAGGATGACGGCGGAGTAGATAAAAGTGGGTACCGCAGGGCGAATGGATAACGAGGCGATAGCGAGCAGGGTGGTCGAATGTAGGCAGGTACACATGCATGATGGGGGCAGCAGCAGGCTGAGAGGGCATGAGCAGTCATATGGCCCGCCAGACCGTCGACGAAACATCCTCGGATATGAGCAGGCGCAAAGCGAAGCATGGAGCGGTGGGTATGGATTGCCCATCGCACCACTCATTCTCCACCTCCAGCGCTCCCACCACCCGCCAGCTCGAGAATCAGCCGACACGCGAGATCCATAAACACAAACGGCGACATCACATCGTCGTCCTCCTTGGGACCAACCGACCCGCCGCTGTGCACGCTTGCAGACTCGCCCGACGAGTCGTGAGCATGGCCAGAGTTGGGCGTGTGCGGGAACGAAGGATGGGGGAGGTGCACCGGCTGGATGTCGAACTTGCCAGCGCCCTCCTCGCTGGACGCCTTGTACGTCTTCTTGTGATGGAAGTCGACGAGGTAGTTGATCGAGTCGACCATATACAGTTGCAGGTTCATCAGGATCTACCATCATCGACCACGCGTTAGCGCCGCTCTACTGGACACAACCAAAAATAACAACGGGAAGGATACTCACCACTACGTCCTGCACCCTCGCCCTCGTCTCTACGAAGTACACGCTCGCAGCGGCCTTGAGATCCACATGCTCGCCATCATACTCACGCGCCCTTTCAATCCGCACATCGTGGCTCCTCGAGCTCCTATGCCCCTGCGAGCGCAGTGCGTGCGCATGCGCCTCCGCAGCTCTTCCCCCAAGCCCGCCAAGATATCGTTTCTCGCGCCACTCCATGCCGAGCGTCTTGAGTGTCCTATAGATCTCGAGCATCACTTCCATCGGAGGACTCCGGCTGCGGATACCAAAGTGCCATTTAGTCCGGTGCGCACGCTTCTCCTTCACGGGCCACGCCTTACGCGCGTTCGCATACGACGTAAGATGGTGCATCTCGCCCGTCGGTGCTTGAGGTGGCTGCGGGTCGGGAAGGGAGGAGTTGAGTACCGCAAAGTTGTTGATCTCGTCCGGGTGGGGTATCGGCGGAGTGGAGAAGTCCAGCGAGCCTTCGTCTTCGTCGTCGTCCGAGTTACCGTTAAACTCAGCTTCAAATGGGTTTTCTTCGTCGCCTCCTGGAGAGCGTGCGCCCGGTGAGACGACGGCGTTTCGAGGCTGTTTAAATCCACGCCATCAGTATCGTTAAGCAACTATTTAAGGTCGAGCGAACTCACGTCCATCGCTGCGAGCTGCGCGTCACGCTCAGCTTCCATGTACTCCTCAACTGCAAATCCAGGATTAACAACCTTCAAAAACGAAAACAATCCAAAAGACTCACGATCTCTCCCTTGCCGCCGCTTATCTCTCAAAAGCATATACGCAACCTTGACCGCGTTCCCCTGCACTCCGTCGTCCCTCCGCAACGCCTCCCAAATATCCTCCTTATCCACATGCTCAATTCTGACCGCCAGTTCATCGACCACATCTTCTTCGATCCTTCCCAGACCCTCGATGATTTCGAAATCAAGCGTCTTAGAGGGCACAACAAGCGACGAGAGCGTGCCGAGGACACCCGAAGGGGGTGGGAGCGGGGTAAGGTAACGGGGAAGATCGGTCGTATAGAACGGGTGCTGGGTGATCTCGGGCACGGTTATGCGCTTGACGGGGTCGACGGCGAGCATGTGGTTGATGAGACCCTTGGCGTCGGGGGAGATGTAGGACGGCATGTGGTAGCTGCCTTCTGCAAGCGTCAAAGGTAACGTTAGGATTGACACGACAAATCAAGATAGTGATAGGGATAGTGAGATAGTGATAGCGGGAAAGGGCCCGATGGAGGGATGAGCAGAATCGGGACAGGTAATGATAGGATGTGACGGGATAGGACAGAACGAGGGAGGTGGAACCACGCACGGCTAATTTTGGTGAAGAGCGTCTGGACGTCCTCGTCCTCGAATGGCAGCCGTCCGCAGAGCATCACATAGAGAATGACACCACAGCTCCAGACGTCGATTTCCGGACCAGTGTAGAGGCCGCCTCGGATGACCTCTGGTGCAGCATAGTTGGGGCTGCCACATGATGTCTTGAGGAAGTCACCGTCCTTGATCTCGTTGGAGAGGCCAAAGTCGGCGATCTTGACGTTAAGGTCGTCGTCAAGGAGGACGTTCTCCGGCTTAAGGTCGCGGTGGACGATCTTAAGGGAGTGGGAGAATTCGATACCGGAGATGATCTGTTGGAAGAAGCGACGGGCACGGGGTTCGGGCATGCGGCCGTTGGCAACGATGTAATTGAAGAGCTCGCCACCGGCATATTCGAGGACGATGATTATGTCGGTTGGGGTGGAGATGACTTCGTAGCTGTGGAAACGGAGATACGGGGGTGAGTAGGAGTTTCAGGTACGAAACGAGGAGGAGGGGAGGCAAGGGGCTGGGAGAAGAGAACGAACAGTTTGATGATGTGTGCGTGGCGAAGAGTGCGCATATAGTCGACCTCGCGCTGAACGCGAGTCTTTGTGCGGGTGAGGGCGATGACACGTTTGGAGATGTACTTCATGGCAACACGTTGGCCGGTGATGGTATGGATGGCCACTGTAAGACATGGCGAGCATATTAGTGAGCGATCGAGGGCCAAATAGGAATGAGAAGAGAACGTACTCTTGACCTTGCCAAAGGTGCCCTCTGCGATGTCCTGGATGACGGTGTACTCGCCGAGCTTGGAGGCGGGATAGCAATTTGGAATGTCATGGTCGTCGGACATGGCTCCAAGTCGCTATGAGCGATGGGGGTGGGGGTGTGTGGGATGTGGATAGTCTGCCCAGACGTGGATGAGGTGGTGAGTGGATGGGCGATGGGGGGGGTGGAGGAGGAAGGGGTGGCTAAGTAAGCGGGGTGGGTGTATGCAGCTGGCAGATTGGAGGTGGGGGCGGAAAAAATGGGACCCCCTTGCACTTTGAAACCTTTGACCTCCGCCAACAAGCGCACTTGAGCAAATTACGTACTCGTTCTCCCGGGGTCCTGCGAATCCCCTGCCCCCATCGGGCAATCAAGCCCCTTAATTCAACCTCCGTTCCGCTGGTCCCGCCGTCGATCGTCCACGTCTCGTCTTCCAGCGCACAATGAGCCCTCCTCGACGTTCTCCCGACGGTGCACGTCAATCTTAAGCCCTGTGTCAACACCTTAGGCACGTCTGTGTGTCCAGGAGAAAACTCGGACCCCGCAATGCATCTGGACGCAGAATAGATCCAATCATCAAAACTCGAAACACGTCATCAACAGAAGCACCCTTGCACGCTAATTCTTTAAACTCGGAGGAACATCCATTCATTCTCGCTGGAGATTCTGGAACATACAAAAACAATCTCACCCGACGTCATTCCTCGCCCTCGCCTAAATACCTTCCGTCCGAATCACCCAATCGCAGCGCTTGAGAGCACGTCCAGCCTCCAGATAACGCGGCTGCCCGTGCCCCCCGTTCCAGCCATTCAATGGTCCATCACCATCAACGCTCTCAAAGCTTCCCAAGTACCAGCTTCCCGGGTGCGCGCTCTCGGCCACCTACGTCATTGTCCAATTCAAACCTACTCAAGAGACCTACACTCGGTCCTACATATATATCTTGCCTGGCTACCCGACCCGCAAGCCGCAAGCCTCGCGAGGTGTCTTCTTGCGACATCTTTCCGCCATCCAGGGAACGATTGCAGATTGCAGAAGCCACTACAGAGCATGAGGCTGAAAACAGCTGAAACGCTGAGCGGCTGACACCCAGCTGCTTATTCCGCCTCCCCTCGTTGGCGCGATAAGCCATCACGCACACCGCAGTCCATAGCCATGACCATTCACCAAGACGTACGCCCCTGCAGAATCTTACTGAACATATCCTCCCTTGGAGTCCACAGTATTCATTTTGCCTATCATCTGCCCCACTCCTCTCCCCACACCGCTGATTTATGATCTCTGATACATCTTGCGCCGCCCGCTGACCACCTCTCGCGCTAACGACAGCTCGGCTCGCCAACCAACTCACTCACCGCTATCACGCTCTACTTCCACGGGCACTTGCCAGCGTGCAAAGCCCGGCGAGGCGAGGCGAGGCGAGGCGCGTTCATGTGTCTCGACACCGCAACCAAAATAACGGAACGTCCGTGCCTGCATCGCGTCATACATCGCCTAGACCACATTCACAAGGACAAGGACGCGTATATCTGTGTATGTATGCGTCTCATTTGCACGAACGCAGAGCTTATCTCACATCCCAGGATCTCGTACCGCCTTTTCCGCCGTCCCGTTCAACGGGCGTATTTTGCAAGGTTGCAAATCAGGAACGTGCGCCGGAGAGGCGCGTGCGTGCGTTGCATTTCGGTGCGTGTTTACTTTTCCCTACTCAAGCTTGAAGCTGTCCTCCGCGGACAAAGGACAGTAAATCCGAGTGATTTACTTGGATCGTGGGGTACAAATCGTCCACGTCCGAGAGAGAGAACATGTATTTGCCTAAAATACTGTACGCTGTCTCTTGATTTATTCCACCTCTTAATCAGATAACTGTACCGTCGTGACGGTGTACAAATTGACATGGACACAGACCCAGGGAGTTGGAAAATGCCAAACACAAAATGATGCTTCTTCCCTCGGGAGATGCCGTAAGTAGCACCCCTGAAAATGAGAGTCAAAGCTGACAACGTATCATGTATGCATGCTCTATGTTCTCCCGCTCTTCTCTTCAAAAGAAGCAACACGCGAATAGTAGAAGCCCAAAAGGCCCGCCGGGGTGTTTGGTGACGCCAGATGCAGATTTTACAAAGACAAAAAATCCTGACCAAGCCATAAGTGCCAGATGCCTACTATGCATTTGAGTCAGCAGCCGTCTAGGGTGAACGCACCGACAGTAACACCTCTTGCTCGACGATATCTGATACGATCAACGTGTCCCCGGAACACGTCCATCCTGCACCCCGACTTCCAAGGGAGCCCCTCGTCTCTTGGACTCTCGTCGGAGACTTTACCCTCGTCTCGCCCCGGTTCATTAGTACTCGCATCCCACCGGCCACAAATGACGACAAAACCCTCTTTCGTTCTTCTTCGGTCCCTCATCGCGTCATCCATGCACATCTACATAGAACACGCACAGACCCCGAAACCTCATCAACGTTGTCCCCCGTGCTCTCGCTCCCTCCGAGGCTCGACAACGTGGATCATCCCGGGAGAACAGTGCAGCAACGCGTTGCGCCAGCCAATGACCGTAGATCAGCGTACCTTGTCCCACCGGCATTTGCTCTCTGCCACCCGCTCAAAACCTTGTTGTGCTCGTTATGATCCTCGACCTGCCCGGCTACGAGCGGCATTGCACATTTTGCTGAGCAGCAGAGCAAGAAAGGCATGTAGACACTCGGCCCTAACTCAACTCTAATTCGGGCCGTCCAGTCGGTGCCTTGTCGCTGAAGAGAGAAGGCTCGGAGGAAAGGAAGGCGGTTTTAGCGCCGACGCTGACGCTGACCTGTGATATATGGAAAGAAGGACGGGGGGAGATGACGCTGCGTGCCGATGCTCTGGCAAGATTGCAGGGTTGTCAAAGATCTGGCGAGGTATCTGACATCTGGAAAGCGTAAGGTACGCCCTGGGGTTGCCGTTCCGAGTCGTTTTCGGGTCGAGCTCGACCTGGGTCTTCACATCGTCTTTTAGGAAACGACACGAGGAGCTCGCGAATCCCGGGATCGCTGTCTTTCTCGAATCCTTTGATCGAAACGTCACCAAAGCTCAGCAGGTTCCGTTCAGCGTCATTGAACGACCTCTGTCGCTACTATGGCAGTTTAGTCGAAGATGTCTCTAAAATCACATTAAGTTGCATCCGTGTTATCTCGTCTCCGCTCGCTCCAACGAACGCCTGAACGTGTCTTCCGTGCAGCATATCTTGCTCCGCTCATGGTTTTCGGTTGGCTAGAAGAGACTTCGACGGTCCTTCGGTTTCTTGTTCCTCATCAGTTTATCTTTCCGATCTGTTTATCTACACCCCTTGCACTCCAGCCGTGCGATCGAGAGCAACGTTTTGTCTTCCATACTTCTGAATGTCTGTATTGGCACGTTATCTCATTTGTTGCCCGGCTCGTTCGTTCTTCACAATCTCCTTTGCTCCCTCCACCAGGCATCGATCTGCTTTGATTCTTCTTCTCTCTTCCTCCACCTTACAAATTCACGGATAGTAGCACGCTGCTTCTCATACTCCATAAGATGTAGGGTATTTTCTTCCTGCCTAACGCGACAGGGGAAAAATCCAGGCGTTATCTGATACACAGCACGCACAACCACAATCCATGATCGCAGCGGTCCTCACCACCGACGCCCTCGCCGACGTCTGATGCGGTCCTCAGCGTCGAACGTTAATATTTCGCGAACATCATCAAAGCGATCGGATCGGCGCCGCCCAAGGTACTTTACACCACATCCTATACATCATTATACAGCCCACAATTACGGCGCGGACATGCGCAATTTGAAAATGAGGAACGCAAACCTTACTATACAGTAACACTAAAATTGCGGACCATTCAGAACGCGCGTATCCTTGGGTGTGGTTGCCTGAGTCCTCCTCGCCGCATGACATGACCCACATGCGTGGGTTGAGTGGGAAAAAGTGGTCAGTTCTGGCTATCACAGGCCGCGTGGCTGGGGGATGTGGGAATGAGCAAGACTGAATGGATGGCTCGGATGTTGGTTTACTGTAATGGGAAGAAACGTACATATGACATAAAAGATATCCGAGCGGTGCGAGAGTATGTTCTAACGTGCCACCGAGATGGACAGAAACAGATTTTATCTGCCAAATCTTACAATGTTCTCTATGCATGGTATGTGAGATGGGAGCATGCACGCTAGCTCTTGGCGTCCCGCTGGTAACGGATAACGCTGTTGGCGAAATAGCACGCGTAGCACGAACATAGATGACCAGAATAAAAGTACCGTTAACGAGAACGGGGCAAGCGCGATAGTGACGTGCGCGCATCATGGAGAAGGATGGAACAGCGAAGCCAGTTTAATTCATTTTCATGACGCGGACGCCAATAACGAATTGCTGTCCTGCGACAACACTGCGACAACGCATCATCGTTCTCACCATCGACTCGAGATCAATAGAGAGCCTTTACCTTTACAGTATATGACCGCGTTCTTTAAATGGCGCTGCTAACAGGCTACGCGCTAACGCCTTGGCTAACGGTTATAACTTATAATCTCATATGTATACGTCACGAAGGGAGAAATCTGTATCGGCTTCCCAGAAAGAAAAGCAAAGGGCGGTTGGGTGGGAGAGATGGTGGCGTATCAGCAAACTCAAATGATGTGAATTGCTCGAGCACTCACGTCTGTGCCGACCCCGGCTACGAGCTAGATAGAGCCTAGTGGCAAGATGGACGTTTGGGACCGAGGTGGCAGGTGTCAAGGCTCCTGGAGATGACGCTATAGATCAGCATTAGCCAGAGAACGTCGTTAAAGAGGGCAAGCATGCCCATGAGCGAGCAAGCTGGTGCAGCCGGTACGGCGGTGATTCATCTGCGGACCTGATCAGCGAGCACCCACAATGACGAGCAAGGTTTGAGCTTAGGTACTTCTGTGTATTTTTTTTTTGTTTCTACCCAGCCACTTCACCCTCGTTCCTAGTGCATCTTGGACAAGAGAACGAAGGTTCGAGGGTGAATCCCTCCCAAACCCCTCGAAGATGCGAGGTCTGCGCGAGTAGACCGGCAAATACCATGCGTTCAGTGAAAGCGGCCTCCATGGTGTATTCGCCCTCTTTCACGGTCCCAAGGACGCGGGTACATCACTCCCCTGTGTAAGAAGTCGTGGCCCATGAACGAGGTACAGGTTAGATGAGTGAGATATCTGATAAAGGCCGTGGGTGGCATCCGTTGAACGCCGTCGGCATCCTCCGGCCGTCCTTTTCAACGACGAGGAAAGCGGACCCACAGGTCTCCGTAACGCGGGAAAGGCGTTCAGTTTAACATGCCATGCCACAGTTCACAAGTCAAGCTCACCTTCAGCCTCGAGCCCTAACACGTGGCGCGCGCGTCTTGAACGCGACACTCGGTCCTCAGTTCATCCCTATACTATTATTACTAGTTTGTAAGCTCGTTGATACTCTGCTCATACGGGGGCCTGCATGCTAGGCGCAGGCTTAGCCATTATACGATATCCGCGGTCCAGTCAAGACTCGTCCGCTACGCAGAGGATGCACTCCTGAGACCTCTGGAGGGAGTTGGCAAGCATCGTCGACTTATCTCCTAATGACAGATCCTCGCGAAAACGTCTTCCCACGATTCAGATCCAGGTGGCTTCACCAGCATCTTGCCAACATTCGCTCAAGTTTACTGGACGCATCCACATGTACACCCGCCATTCGCTCCATTTAAACGACATGGTGCAGTGGACCTTCGCATGCTGATACCCCACTCAAATTTGTAGCGGAATCTCGCAGCCGGCGATCGATCTCAACGGCGGGGCGCCCGTCGGCGGGGCACTCCAGATTACAGTTCGGATTCGAGCAAATCTTTTGCGGAATTGGCTCACGAACCTCATCCAACCAGGGCGAACCCTGGGCCCGAAGGATTGCCTACAAGTCAACTCGTCCAAACGACGGGGGTAGGAGAGGGTGCCAGTACTGTGTCGAGTGAGATTGGACGCTGGGACTGGATCAAGTATTGTATGTGCGTACCTCCACGTCGTTAGGTGCTTGTGCTTGAGTATTTAGTGTTGCTGGACTGTGCATATCATTTCATCGAGCACCCTCACCGGTTTAAGCTTGAGATTTCTTCCGATGGAACGCGACGAGCTCGTGTGATATAGTCTTCTGGGAAGCCGATACCCTTGTAGTTTTGCGAGGTAACACGATATTGTATGAACTCTGAGCGCTTTGACAAAAGTTCGATTTATGTGAGATTGTTAAGTCAGAGCGGAGTGGATTTCAAAGGGCACAGTATGTATACAATTGTACAATGCCCTTTTGAACGTTATTATGTCAGAGTGGGGTGTATTGCGAAGAGTACAGTTAGTTAAATAGTACAATATAACCAAATCACACATTTCTTCTGTCTTGTGGATGGAGAGAGGTTCTACGCGATAGGCTCATCGTTGATCCATCTGAGCATCATGTCCTGCATGATTATCATAGCTGCTCAGCGCGGCGCACAGCAGTACAATTCATGACGTACCAAAGCGACCTCGGGCTGGTCGTGCGGGACCATATGCCTGCGATGGAAAGCGCATTGATGAGTTCCTGTCAATCGACATGCTAGTAGTAATGTATCACTTACCCAGCCTCATATACAATAGCGAGTGTGAGGTTGCCCGCCGACTCGGGACTGACGCCTGCGGAGCGGACCAAGCCGACTCGATTTCCGTCGATGGTCCACGATTTGAACGGCGCTGCTTGGAACTCGTTCTGATAAAGGTTCGGAAGCGCTTCGACAAACTTCGTTTCGCCCTTCACAGATCCAGTTCATTAGATGGCATACAAATTGGTCGGAGAATGATCGAACACGTACTTGGTAGTTGCACATGAGATCTTGGGATGTTCGTGAGCTCGATCTCAACGTCGAATTAGCGAACCGATGCACGCATACCTGCGTTGCCCGCGTATATCAATAACCTCACGCCATGTTCAATCAGCTCGGGAAGCAGCGCCGCGCCGTTCTTCATCCCATCGCCAACGAGGAACCTGAATTTGAGTGTCACAGCGACATTGCAAGTCTTGTACTCAGCCGGTGCGGCTGGATCGACGCCAAGCTCGGCTTGCACCGCAGGACTGTTCATCCACTTCTCGACGTACTGAAGACCCTTATAACACAGGTCGCCGTTTTCCTCTGGCTCGCACTTCTTGCGCGCGTCGTACATATTGTGGCCGTGACCTGTATGTTCCAATACAAGTCATATTCAATGTGAATCCGAGTACTTATGTTGGCGGAAACGCACTGAAGACGGGGCCGAACACGCCATTCCAGCAGACCTCCGATGCGGGGATGCACGTCAAGCGACTATCATGCTTGTAGCACTGCTCGATTAGGCCCTGGCATGTCGGCGCTGCGAGCCGGAGAGCCTGGCATTCTGCCCCATACGGGTCGTCATAGATCGCGTACGGGCCCGAACATGCGTACTCAACGACACTCGGCATCTGAATACGCGGATCCACGAGACCATTGCCAATCATCACCGACGCGAGATTGACTTCGGGGACACCAGGCGCGCGATCCCGGTTGCGGTGGATGATCTCGCTCGCCATGTGCGGCGCGTACCGCCCGCCGTAACTCTCTGCAGCAAGGTGAAAAGGCAGCTTGGCGTACTTAGGGAACGTGCTCATGAAAATCGCGAGGAAAGCGTATACGTCCTTAGCTGCATCAGGTGTACTGATGACCGTGGAGCCGTCGGTAGAGTAGGAGAAACCGACGTCGATGGGCTGGTCGAGGAAGATGATGTTGGCTTGCGAGTTCCAGCTATATGGATTGAGCGCCGTACTGTTTCCTTCGTCGGAGATGCTGCAGGGCCCGAGCTCGAAGAGGAGACCAGAAGTGGAGCTGCATCCCGGTCCGCCGTTGAGCCATAGAACAACGGGGTCTTCGGAAGGATTGGAACGCGACTCGAAGAACCTGGAGAAGGTTGAGGTCATCGTCATTTAGGCGAGGGAGCAGGCTGGCACACCAGAAGAAGAGATGTTTTCCCTCCGTTATATCCAGGTATCCAGAGTACTGTTGCACGGATGGATCGCAGAATGTAGGCTCTTTGATCCGAAGCTGGTAGCCCTCGAAGGCTGGGTGATTAGCGATGTTGTCTGCAAGGACAGGTACCATTATGTCAGTAGATAGGTTGATCTAACGACCAAACACGACACGTACAGGCCTTGTCGCTCTTCCCAGGCCAAGTTTCATTGTGCGCACTTGAAGACCATCCCTGAGGAAGAGCCGGCGGCCCCGGTTCGCCGAGCACAACTTGCTCAGCTGTAGGGCTGGCCTTGGATAAGAAGGGAAGCAAGAGGAGCGACGAAAGGCAAGCCACGGCGCTCTTCATCATGATCGTAGAGATGCGACCCTAGGTGAAAGTGAGGAGACTCGGACGCGCCTACCTTGGGGTATATTGAGTGAACCGGTCACAGCCACGTAACGACCACGGCATTGTTCAATGCTGTGCCGTTTGCCCTGGACAAAGTTTCCAGGGACCAGCAAGGCAGTCGGAAATCACCGATAAGCCTTAGCAGCGTCTATGCTTAGTCTGGTGAGATGGTCTCTTCCATATATTCTCAGCTGTGGGAACAGTTGTGTTGTGAACCGGAGGAGTACTTTGGGAGAGATGGTGGAATGATGCGAAGGTGGCTGGAGGCGGCCTCGGAAGGCTCCGATCTCCGATAACTTTTGCCCGTCGAGCCTTACCAACGTTGACAAGCCCCTTTCGTCTCATTCACTAGTTCTCAATGGGCAAGTTCGCGCGCCAGGGAAGGCCCGCAAAGCCTCAAAAGGCGGTTCACAAGTCTAATGCTCTTGGATACCAGAAGCGTCGCTCGGAGAAGGCTTCAAAACCCAGCGCAGACCTAACGGATGTATATGAATATGCACCATCTGCAAAAGTTCGTCGCTCCAAAGTACGCCTCGAGCTCGATCGCGACGAGGTCGGCGGTCGAATCAACGACGATGAGGACGATGTTGGTGATTTTCAGGGGACTGGATTTGGCAGGAAGGAGCTGAGAGCACGGCTATTGGGTGAATTCGTGGACGACGAGAAGGTTGCAAGCGAAGACGACGAGGAGATCGAGAGTGACGATGCTTTTGACGACGAAGATGAGGACCGGTTTGCAGGGATGGGTTTCCGGCAGAAGGTGAGCGGTGTTATGTACTGTGCGTACGATGAGCATGCTGACTATCAGCAGGGTGGTAAGAAGAACGCAGTGAAGCGGAAAACGCCCAAGCGGGCTGAGATTGACCTGAACGAGGATGACGATCAAGCCATGGACGACGCTGAGGCGGAAATAGGAGAGGGTGACGATGTCGACGATGACGAACTGTCGGAAGACGGTTCAGGGGAGTTTATGGACATTCTTGACGTCTTCGACGGCAAAGCAGATGCGGAAGACGATCAGCCTGCACCCACATCTAAATCAAAACCCCCAGCAAAACCCTCACGCGACGTCTCCACACCGGCTTCAGAGAATGAGCAGCTTGAAATCGATGCTATGGACTCGGACGAAGGCTCTGACGAGGAAGACAGCGCCGAGGAAGACGAGGAGGCCTCTGCCATCTCGGCATCCGACGCCGAGGACGAGCACTCCGCGCTCGCCGACCTCGAGACGTTCGTCAGCGGGCTCGACACGACCGACTCTAAAAAGCGCAAAGCAGCACCAGCCGACGCCGGTGATGATGCACCTGCACCACAACGCCGTCGTGTTCTCGTGGAGCGCACCGAGGCTGGACCCGAGGGCGAATTCCGTGTTAACGCAGGTATGTTATCATATCATCACTGTCTCTTTCTATATCACTAATTATATGACATATAGGCACCGCAAAACTCGACCTTGACGACCTCCTCATGCCTCTCGCTTCCGGCTCCTCCTCATCTGCTCTTGCCGACCTCAAAAAATCCATCAAACCACTTCAGCCTTCTACCTCATCCAAAGCAGTGCGCACTCTAGCTGCACCTTTGCCCCAGAGAATGCAGGAACGGTTAGACCGAGAAGCAGCGTACGAGCAAACAAAGGGAGAAGTGGACAAGTGGAATGCGACGATGAAGCGTATCAAGGAGGTGTGTTATGTCGTCATTATAGCCTGTATTCTCGAGCTTATATGCATACGCACCGTATAGGCCGAACACCTGAGCTTCCCTCTGCAAGCTGAACCCGAGTCCCGGCCCTCGAACCTCGAGCTCGCTGCCAGATTTAAGGCACGTTCGGTTTCCTTCCCTAGAAACATCACATTTCCTAACTTGTCTATCTAGCCAACAACATCCCTCGAAAAATCCACCTCCGCCCTTCTCTCCTCCGCCGCCCTCCTCGATGACCAACTTCAAGCGACGGAAGCGCTTCAAATGTCGCACCTCACCATCGACGACGTGAAAGCGCGCCGCGCGGAGCTCGCCAAGATGCGCGAGCTCGCGTTCCGCGCCGAGGCCAAAGCCAAGCGTCTCAAGAAAATCAAGAGCAAGACGTTCCGCAAAATTCGTAAGCGCCAGCGTGCGCGTCTTGACGGTGCAGCACCGGACGAGGACGATGAGGATGACGAAGAGGCGCAGTTGGAGACGGAACGCGAGAGGGCGAGGGAGCGTGCGACGCTTCGGCACTCTAATACCGGCAAGTGGGCAAAGGCGATGAAGGGCAAGGAGGGGATGGACGTGGACCAGCGGAGGGAGATCACGGAGATGCTGGATCGTGGGGAGAAGCTCAGGAGGAAGATTGAGGGCGAGGGCGAGCCGGGGGAGTCTGAGGATGAGTCGGACGAGGAAGACTACGAGGGAGGCGAAGAAGGGGCGCGGCGCCGTGCGTTCGACGAGCTTGAGGCTCTCAACAGGGCGGACGCCGATGACGTAGACCCGGAGAAGCTGGGCAAGGGCGTGTTCGGGATGAAGTTCATGCGCGATGCGGCCGAGCGGAGGGATCGCGAGACTCGGAAGGACGCAGATGACTTTGCTCGATTGCTCGATGAAAGTGCAGCGTCTGGGTCAGGTTCAGACCAAGACGACGGGGAGGGCGGTGGACAACGCCAAGGAGAGGCTTTCATCCAGCGCACGGCCGGAGGAGGGCGAATGTTCTTCCGACCAACGGAGTCATCACATCTCGCTGAGATACGCACGGCGGGGCTCGTTCCCGCTGCTTCTGCGTCCGACACGTCGAGTGTCACACTCCAGTCTGCGGACCTCGTGCGCAACTCGCCCGCTCTCTCTCGCCCTGTCCCTAACTCTAAATCCGCTACCGGCGCAGTCATCACCCCCACTTCTGTTGCCCCTTCAACTTCACCTCGGATATCTAACTCCCCTCCGCCCGTCTCAAAAGCAGCGCAGCCGAATCCTTGGCTCACCAGGAAAGCTGGCAAGGATGAACTCAAGAAGAAGAAAAACGAAGTACTTGTGCACAAGGATAGCTCAACGCTTGACAAAGCTGCCAGCCGACTTCGGAAGAAGAAAAGGGCACAAGACGGGGAAGGAGAGCTGGACGATAAGGAGTTGGATATCGAGATGGGGGCTACACTTGTGCTCCCCGCTGAGTCATCGAGTAAGGGGAAGGATAAGAACGCAGACGAGGGTGAGGGCGAGGATGAAGATGAAGACGCAAACTCGGAGGTGGACGAACAGGAGCGACAGCTTGCTCAGCGGAGAGCCGAACGCGGGGCAGGTGGGAAGGGTGTCAAGGCGTTTGAGCAGCGAGACTTGGTTGCGCAAGCCTTCGCGGGGGATAACGTCGTTCAGGTGCGCTCCGACTCCACATTGTAAAACCATGTCGTCTCTGACATGTCCCTCAGGCATTCGAAGAGGCTAAGCGCAAAGAGGTTGAAGCCGATGCTCCAAAAACGGTCGACACGACCCTTCCTGGCTGGGTAAGGCCATTCACCCTCTGCCAACTCTGGCTCCATTGACGCAAACGTACTGTCCATTCAGGGCTCATGGGTTGGCACGGGAATGGCTCCTCGTGCTCCCAATCCCAAGTTCTTCAAACACATACCCGGTATAGCTCCCTCGCAGCGCACGGATGCGGGCAAGAAGCACGTCATCGTGTCCGAGAGGCGCGACAAGAAGGCGGCCAAATACCTCGTGAAAGAGCTCCCGCACCCCTACACGAGTCACGCGCAGTTCGACAAGCGCATGGCACAGCCCGTTGGGAAGGAGTGGAACACGGTTGGCGCGTTCCAGCGGGGAACGCTGCCCAAGGTCGTCAAAAAGGTGCGTACTGGATTTGGAAGATGCGGCGATGTCGTACTGAACGGATGGGCCGTTTTAGATGGGCACGGTTATCGATCCCCTCGAAAAATTGTTCTAGATGGGACATTATTATCGTTTACCATTTGCGTTTGGCGTTTGGCGTTATGCTTTATGCTAGTCCTAATGCCATACTGCCGAGAGTGGCGATACTTGCCCTCTCAATCACATTTTGCCGTCCGTTCATGGATACCTCAAACTGTGTGCTCAACATTAAGAACTCTACAAGGCTGCTCAGGCCAGGTCCAGACTCTCGGACTGCTTTTAATCGTTGCCTCATTAACTAGAGGTTAAGGAATGAAACTCAAATGACTAACATTAAATCTACATAGTATAGCTATAGAGCCCTAAACCTTGCGACAAGCTCCTGACATCCTCATACAACCCGGCGACAGGCACATAGCCCCGAAGATGACACCAGCATCCTCATCGTGCCGCCATTACAGGCACAGTCGGAGCTCATGCTCGGGCGGACCTCGTTCCTTTGCAGATCGGATTGTCCATAAGCGCAATGAGGGCCAGCACGGCCCATACGACTGGCAAGGTCAAGGTTCGGACGTGCGTCTGCGTCGGGACCCGTTGAGTTGCCGTTCGTCCTTCGGTCGCACCCCATATGACCGCCTTCGTCCTCATCCGTATGGGCGTGCTGCTGGACCTGAACAAAGATCACGTCTGGGCCGAACGGCGATCTCGGTTTTCTAGCGGCGATGGTAGCGGAGAGCTTGTTTCGGATTGTGCGCGCGGCGGAGCGCACTGTGCTCCTAAAGGATGCAAGGCGGGTGCGGAGGTCGGTCCGCGGCTTTAATGTTAAAGAGCGTGAGGGTTCAGGTGTCACCCGGCGAGAACGGTGCAGGGCAGCGGGCTCGTGGCAGGGGCTCGGGGTTGGGACCGGGCTCGCTGCAGGATGAGTAGGAGATGAAGGTTCGGCTTGACCGAGCATTCGGGTCTGTCCCTGAGTCTGAGCCTGAGCTTGAGAGTGTGATCGAAAACGCATAGGAGACGAGGAAGCCGCAGGCGAATGAGAACAATGTGTGCTCGCGTCGACGGCGGCGAATTTCGGGGTGTGTGGATGTAGAAGTTCCCGATGATCGTCGTGATCTTCGGTCATTCGGTTCGATGCTACTTTGTTTACCCCGCAAGGCCGAGTGATCGCATTAAGTTGTCCGGCGGTAAAGTCTGAACCGCGGCTCGGTGAGCAGTTCGATTGCTGATGAGCTGGCTGTACTTTACCCTCGTTGGGCTTATCATCGGCATTCCAGGGAGTGAGATAGAGTGAAGATGAAGGTGATGGGTCCGGTGAAGGCGTAGCGCGCGTGACGACAAGCGAGGGTCCTTTTGTTACCACGAACGGATCTTCGTTATCTGCACCTGCTGTAGCTTGGGCTAGGTCGGCACCAGAGGGTCCAGCCACGCTTGCGGCATGCAGAGCGCTGAATGTAGCTGAAAGATCAGTAGGCACACCTTCAAAAGTCTCCGTACCCTCTGTGATGGGAGAAAGGTCAACTGGGCCCGAAGCCGTAGACGTGTTCTGTGAAAGAGCAAGGGTTTAGCGTCCGAACCCGAAGACATAAAATTACTTACAGCTTCAGCTGATACTAGAGATCGCTGAGATAGACATAGTGCAGGAATCTTTTTAGGGTGTGGTGAGTGCGCAAGTCGGCGCGGTGATGGACTCTGAAAAGGGGAAGCGGTTAGCAATGAACCTATCTACTAATGGAGAGTATGGAGACCACATACATCCCCATAGCTCCGCGATCGTCCTGGCTGAAGCGTCCGCGAACGAGAGTTCGGCCATGTCTGACCAGCAGGTGGAGTAACGCCGGGTCTTCCTCGCGCGTATTGCTTTCGTCTCAACGCAGCTCTTGTGGGCGACGCCTATAGACCATCGTTAATCGTGATTATACGCATACAATCACCCACAGGTTTAAAAATTGTCAAAGCGCTTACATCAAAACTCGGGCTGAGTGAATCTTCTGAGAGCAGACTCGAACGCCTTCTTGCGTTACTTCCGTATCCAGAGAGGGGCGAGCCGTAGTAAGAGGAGGAGCGTGCGGGAGTAGCGGGCGTCGTTGGTCCTGGCGTCCCTAAGAAGGTTTTCGTTAGATAATAGTAATAATAGAGAGAGAGAGAGATAATCGTACTGGGTATCGTGCGCCGGAAACGCGGGTCTGGGATGGACGGCGGGATCTCGAAGGACTGGCGCGGAGGGCACCCGTACGGTCACCTTAGGGCAACGCATCAAGAGATACTAGCTCTGCTCACCGGCCTAGGCTTAATGATTAGCTTAATAAATCGCCTCATTTCAGCCATTCGTGTAGAGAGGTCATCCTTTTTCTCCAACGATGGATTGAGGAGGCGGGGAGGCGGTTTCATGTTGACGATCGTTAAGACGAAGAGCAACGTCGAAGCTTCGGTTCATGCGATAAGATTCGAGTATTCCTTAACTCGATTCACCACGAGAAATTCGCGCCGAGCGAAAACATCCCAAGGATGCCATGCATATCTCGGGCCGTCAGGCCCCAGGTCATAGCCTCTGATATTCAAAAGCCAGTTGAAGGTATGATCGCGTTGCAGCAAGAGAAGGCTCACCATCAGGTTGACGACGCATATGCGTATATGGTGGGTCAAGTACTGGCCCAAGAAACTCCTTTGGTATATTTGAGCAAGTGGCATCCGTCATGGTAGGCGTAAGGGAAGAAGAGCAAGAGCCGGTTCGGAATGCTCCGAGAACCCACGTCGCGTGGACGTTCCAAATTGACCCCTAAAACGCGTCCATCACGTGTTGCACTCCCCACCATCCCGTCTTCCTAACCTGGACCCTTCACCTTAATAGCTTGCCCCCTGATCGCGTTGCCTTCACACACCCTGAAACACTGTTGACCCACACTCTTACCTGCTGTTTTCTCACCAAACCGAGGGTCTACATTCATCGCAAGCGAAGTGAATCATCCCACAGGCCATATAAAACGATGCGTCGCGCTCAAAGCGTCCGTACACACCACTCCCGCGCAGCGACGTCGGGCACGCCCGACGATCTCGGTAGACTCAGAGAGTCCGACGACTCTACACAAGGTTCCTCGATGGAGGAGAATCTGCGTCGGCAGCTGCTCGAGAAGGACAGGGAGAACGACAAGGTACGCACTCTCACCTCTGTCTGCTTGCTCGATTCTGCTACCACCGATCCCCAAACTCTTTCCATCTTCATTCAACCACCTACTCAACACCCGCTTGCAATCAACAGTAGAGCATGGTATGCTGACACACGAGCCGTGCCGCACAGCTCCGTACGACTATCGTCGCCCTGCAGACCCAGCTCAAGTCCCGCCCGCCCATCGAGACGCTCCAGGAGCTCGAGAAGGAATACAAGAACCTTGACCTCATTCTCCAGGGAACACAGCGCGAGAACGAACGATGCATGGCGGAGCTGGAGCGGTACGACTTTCACTCCTTCGCTGTTCCATCCTCATCTGACCCTTGAGGCGCCTTTGATATAGGGCTAAGGTTCGCGAGAAGATGCTAGAACAGGCATTAATGAAGCTCGCAGGAGAGAACTGGCAGGTGAGCTCGCGCTTGAGCTCGAGCGCAACCCACGATGTTGACCTTTTGCAGTCGGCGTTGGATATCGCCCCAGCCCCGACCATAGCGGTCCGGACTGCTGCTGGCCATTCACGTTCAGGCTCTATCGACGTGAGGGAGACACCGCCAGCAAGCGTCGAATCAACCGCCGCTCAGCTCGAGCAAGTGCGGCTCCTCATCTTGGGGATGGATCAGAAGTTGCAGGACCGCGAAGAAAGTCTGAACAAAGCCGTGCAGCGCGCGGAGAGTGAAGGAAACAAGATGGAAGTTGCAAAGCAGGAGATTGCCAAATTAGCTACGCGGGCTTCGACGTAGCCATTGTTGAATGGGGACTGGTGGAGGATCAGTTAGCATCCTACTAATATTTGATAAAATGGTTTATATCACATTGTATTATAGCTCATATTCGCATCATCAATTATACCCATCATGATGGCTTTTCGAATGAGCGAAGTAAGCGTCAACGATCGCAATGAGATTGGCACTAGTATTTATATAATATAACGGCTCGGTACAGTGGATGTGATAAATGCAAAGATGGGTGTGATGCAACTGCGTAAGCTACCAGGAGCCCATTGCGTGATACGAGCGTAAGAATGAGTCACAGCAGCCCGTGCTAGAGGGATTTGTAATGCAAGAAACATGGTCGTGGCAACGAGGAACATTGTATGTATTAGCATGCAAGGGGGAGATGATTACGGAACGTATTGTTGCAGATGTGCCGTTATCTAGTAAGGCAGGAGATATGCTGTAGGCGTACAGAAAAGATATCGAGGACATCCTCGCAGGAGTTGGTCTAGTATAGGCATTAGAAAATCGACTTTGTAAGCGTCCTATGTTGGTGCGTAAGATAAGTTGTTGTGCTTTTGTTAGATGATCTTGCAGGTAGCAGGCGAGCGACGAAGATGCTTGAGGATGCAGAGAGATACTGAAACCAAAGAAGATTGATGCATGATGAGCCTTGAAAGGCCAAAGCTTAATAGCCATAGTATGCGCGCTACGATGGAAAATTGAGGTCAGCATGGACGCGCAAGATAACATAAGTATGAGATTACGGACCATTCTATCGCTGTTTGGGGTTGATATCATAAGCGTGACGAAAGTACTTAGGAAGGAGCAAACTTACAAGAGCCATATGACTTTTGAACCCGTCTTGCAGCCGCGCAGCGTTACGATGTGGCCTCTAATACACTCGTATAGAACAGTTCTTTGATCTTTGTCGGCCTAAACAGAACTGATAAATATGGCAACGTTAGACGAAGACTTCAACATACGTACTTGTGGAAGGGTGCTCGCTATGAGCTGACTACCGGTCACGGACAAAGCGAGATCAACAATCATTGCACGCCGGCCGCTGATAAACCAAGATGAGCAGGGATGGGGAAGAGTGAAACGGACAACCCTACCCTTTCGCAGGCTCGCACATCCTATTCACGATTTTGTCGAAGGTTTCCTTTCCTCCTTCCTTCAAAGCCTTGTTGACGGACTTATAACCTTGCTCATTAGTTGCGTAGTCTAGCAAGTCCGCAACGAGATGATCGAGGGTCATCTGGCGATGATTCGGTGACCCGTGCTCGAGAACTGGGTACAATCATCGTTAGAAAGAGGGAAAAACATGAAGCTAAGAGCGTACTGTGCTGAATGCAGTAAGAGCCCCACTGGTTCTTTGCAATCTCGTTAAAAATCGCGGAGCCCTGGTTGAGCAGTTCGTCGATTATACCGTCCTTCGCTGACTCCTCTAGGTTCTCAAACGCATGCTACAATACCACTTCAGGTCACGTTCAATTTTTGGAACAACATAAACTCACCTGAACAACAAGCGAGCCGGTTTCGTGGCAAGCTAAGGACGCCCATTTACCCTTCAGAGATTTATTCACGCTGAGGCAAAATTAGCTCCACTTCGTAACCCGTTGATCGCACACACGCACAAAGAAAAAATGGGGGGCGCAGGCGGAGTCCAGGTAAGTTCCATGATCTGTGCACGAAACATGAGGCAATGATCCGAGGAGACATGAACGAGGGTTTGTGTACCTTGCTCCATACGTGTGAGGCATGTTTGTTGACGAGCGTCAGAGCCGGATCGCCGAGGAGAAGCTCAGAGACAATTAGTAGCCTGATATCTTCTTCGCAGTCTAAAGCCTTTTGGAGGACATGACAGCCGTAACAGTTGGTGGCGAGATCGACAACCCTGCCTCTATCACCAGGGATGAGCTAATGGTCTTGGCGAAAACACGTCCCGTACCGCATACAAGCAACTATTTTCCGTCTCTCCTCTGCTGTAGCAGCAGCCTCGAGACATCTCTGAACAGCCCAGTTGCCGAACCTAAAAACGGAGAAACAGCGTCATCCATCATGATTAATGGATATTATATGCGGGCGATATACCTATGAGACATCATCTCAAATCCGCGCGCACAGATTGCGTCGACGATCTTGTGACGTTCTTCGACGTCGGCAACCTTGAGCTTCTGCTGCAAGAAGATAGACGCTTGCTGGTCGGAGGACTTGATGATTCGTGCCACAAAGACATGGTACGGAGGGGACGAGGAGGGGTGAAGGAGCGACAAAAAGTTGATTGGCTGTGGGTAGAAATTAGTGACTGACGGCTTTCAGCGCGCGCTTGGGGCTCACCTCAGCTGCGTGCATGGGTCCAGGGGGAGGACGCGTGTGGAAAGGCATGCGAGGAGGCGATGACCTCAGAAAGTCATCCGTGATTCCCAGGCCCGAAGTATCTGTGCCAAACTTCTCTTCAGCTCGGGCCCAGTCCGGCGCGGAGAGTTGTTGATGGCGCCAAGTGGTGGAGGGCATACGGGGAAGCTCGGAACCCCGTGTGGAAGGCGGAAAGCTGCTTTCGTAAAAAGGCTGGGAAGAGGCATGCATAGAAACGTTGTCGGTAAGCTGGTCGACGAATGGGAATCCGGTATTGGGAGACGGGCCTCCGTCGAAACGTTGCATGGCGCTTTGAGGCGACGATCTGAGGTCATGAGCTCCCATAGGGGAAGGCGGGTCAAAGAGCAAGGAAGAGGGAGCAAAGTTGAGATTGTGAGGATGCATATCGTTCAAGGACAGCTTGGGATCGAAGCTCTTCGCAGGGGAGAGGTCCGCTGGCGTCAAAAGGGTGGACGTGGTGGAGCAGGGAGACACATCCGGAGTACCGGAATGACCGGTGAAAGCGTCCAAATTAACATGTTGAGAACGCTGTCCAGCGAATGGACCCGGGGAGCTCAGGTTGAGAGCGCGCAAAAGTTGTTCTACGTGCTGGAAAAAGGCCATGTATGCGTGAGTCAAGCGCAAATGGCGATGTGGAAAATGACATACGTTGTGCTCGAACCCTTCATGGCCGGCCCTCCGACCGTCGCCGATGGCACCGATGTCCTTCCTGCGGAGATTGGCAACAAGAGCAGACATGTCCTCGGTGGTGGCAGGCGGCGGATACTGAGGATGGTTCTGGGTCTGATATAGCTGGCGCATGTCGCGCTCAGTTCTACCAGGTCCCGAGAACGGGTCAGAACCTTTTGGCCAAGCTGAGTTGGCGTTTTGAGGCTGAGGAGCCCAGATGGAAGATGCAGTAGAGCGAGAGTTGGGAGTATTGTAGTCGTCAGCGAAAGGGCGGAATGGCTGGGCATCGTCGGTGGAATGCATGGTAAAGAGCGAGGCAACGAGCAGAGGACAAAAGGCGATGAGGTGGTGGTGGTTGGTGGTAGAGAAAGGCGGGTGGCCCGCGGCCGTGCATTTTATACAACTTTTGAAGTTCAATCGAAGTCTGCGAAGGATACAAAGAAAGAATCTGCAATTTCCTGAAAGGGTCAGCTATGTACCCTTTTTGGATGGCGTCCTTCCCGCCCATTCGCTGCTGCGCCCCCGTTGGCATTCCAGCCAATAGCAGTGCAGGAAATGATCGGAAGCTTGTGCCGTCGACTGGGGCCATCGACATCTTCCCGCGGAAGTTGCGCCAACTGTCGCGCAGCCGAACAGAGATCTGGCTTAACGCAGAAGACCGGCGCTTTCACCGTGAAAAAGGGCCTCGTCACATCTTCACCCGCCCTTCTCAGGCGTTCCATCGAGCTTGGATGCGACGGCGAGACAGAATGCCTGCTCAGTTCGAAACATCTAGTGTGATGGGAGAATGAGCCTTCTTCGAAAAGTGTTCAAGTGTCACGACACTGAATTTTAGTGGAGCCGGTGCCGCCGGTGCCAGTACTTTCCAGCGATTGTAAAGTGCTTTGGGCTTACAAAGTACCTAGGCCTGCGGTTACATCAGAGCTAGCGCTGAATATACAGGATCAGGATGAAGAGGGAGGTTAGAGTGCACGACTAGCTAGAGGGAAAGCAAACAGGTAGGCTCAACCAAGACTATGCGGGAGATTCCTTTACGATTGCTCCAAGGCATCGCTGATGAAACAGCTCTCTCGGTGCTAGTCAAGACTTTGTCATCAAGAAGTGTGAAAGAAATCGACCGTACGAAGAAGTTGGCTACGAGTGTGCAAGAATTTCAAGCTTGAAATTTGAAAAATGGTCCTATCACAAGAGGCTTAGATCAGTTACTCGGTTCGTATAGACGGTGCCTTTACCTCCTCTTCTAAGCGCCAGGCCGAGACCCAGCTAAAGTCCCCCAACAGAAACGTTCCCACCTCCAGGAGAAAGGAGGGTAACAGCGTGAACAACATGCGCAGTGAAATGCCACCAAAAGCTTAACATTCGAATGAGCGTGATGACCTAGCCCGGTCCACCTGGCCTTCTAACGTCGAGCCCTGTATTTGGGTGGGGCTCTGTAGTGATGACCCACTTTAGTGATCGGCAAAGGTCTACAACCCTCGGTGACGGGTAGGTGCTCATCATGGCGGTAGGGGCGTTGCATCTCCCATTTAGTCAGTAATTATTGCACCATCTCCGCGGAGATATTTTGAGACAATGTCAAGGCCTCCAGCCGTTTTTTGATGTCATGATAACGTTGCCAAGAACGAGCTGACCCTAGTGAGCACATAATATGCACGCCTGCAATTATGATCAGACATCGGGGAAACGGATCGGTAGCGCCACCCCCAACGCGGCGCACGGCGAGGTCCCATGGAGCCAAGCCTGTTCAAGAAAACAAAATCAGAGAACTATCAAGTTAGTGAAGACGGCGCCACTCACAACAAATGCATCAGCCGCTGCTTTCCATCAGATCCTGCGGACATGATAGCTTGAGCGTCTTACTTCGTTAAATGAGAGATTTACCGCCCAGCGAACGTCACTTGAACGCATGTTCGCCGCAAGCCGTCCAATTAAGCGGCAGCGGGTTCAGGCCCATGGGCGCGGGCCGGGAGGTGACACAAATAGGTCGAACCTCACCAAGATCTCAACTCCGAAGAAACGGCGTTCTATACAACGTGATGGAATAATCATTGAGCGCAGTAAGCCAGGTCAAGGTACTCCACAGGTACTGTAGCAACACGTACTGCCCAGACAGACTGATCAAGACCTTCATTCCAGGAAACGGCGTTCTGTACCTGTTGGACCTGCAGTGCAGCGTGCAGATTGCTCAGCTGCCAAGAACCCTCACAAGAGGATAGCATGGTCAAACGACATCGCACGGTGCCACGCAAACACAAAAGCCCACCAATGAGACGCTTCACTTCTAGCCACAAGACATACGAAGTCCGACATACCGTAGGGACCCAAGTTGGGCGGGTGTCTTTACCTTTAGCCCTGACTACGCTTCAACAGTACATCCTTTACGCTATACCATCCATATCAGTATGCAGTAGTGATGTGAGTTACGTAGAGTTGAGAGGCTGAAAGACATGGGCGCGAAAAAAATGACAGGTGCCATCGGACCGCCCGGCCCGGCTCGGCGGGCGTTACCGAAGACTCCTAGCTCTGGCCACTGCTGCCTAGATCGTTTAGACGGTATGGAACGCTTCACGACTCTACAAGGAGACACACAAACCATGCGAGTGGGTTGGTCTCTTTTCTGTTTCATCGCAAGAAAAAAAGCGATGACATGAAAGCAGAGACGGCGCCGGTGCCCTTTTCACTAAGTGTTCACCAGATCATCATGATACCGCGTTTGTATCCCCGTGCTTACAACCATAAATGGCTTGTGAGCCCAGACGAGTTCAATTTGATCTATGAAGCTAACCTTGTCCGTCGTTGATGCTGTAGTCGCCCCCAGAAAGATAAACCCAGAAGGAACGGGAGAAATAAAGACACAGAGATAAGGGGTTGTTTCTCGGTGAGCGCCGCAGCTCGGTTCGAAGTGGCAATCACGCATCAGCCTGATGCACGAGACAACGGAGCGGTAAAGAGGTCTGATGAGACCTGGCGGTGATGAGAACGTTAACAGCGTGTGCGGGGGATCGTACGATGTGGGCAGGGTGTACCGCAGTCAATGTAGCCCCGGAGCTTGAGCACATGCTCCACTGGCCAGTGCTTCCGCCAGCCAAGCAAAGCGTTGGGCCTCAGCCGCATCCAAAAACATGTAGACCTCCGTCACCGCCGGACCTGATCTCATGTGACAGACCCGAGACGGACATGGAGGAATCACCGGTCGGCTGCCTTGTAAACATAAGTTTCCGGGGCGAACAAAGCTGGGATCGGGCGATCACGAAGCGCACGAAGCCAGCATGCAACTCCGTGTAGGTGGTTCCTTGATCGAAGGGCACACTGTGTTCGGCCGTCCATTAACTTGCATCTGCATTCTCATAAATGAATGAAATCGACTCGACCTCAAATGAAAGGAACGCTCTGATTGATAGCTGAATAGCCGTATATCGACGACAACGCCGGATGTTATGAGTGTAAGATCATGTGTGATGCCTGCGTCAAAATACTGCACCAACTGCGAGAGGCTAACCTTGATCGCACTTACGACATCGACCACACGTACCCTCGCGGGTCTGGCCACGCGCGAGGCGCCACACACTGACTCCATTCGCATCCTTCAAAAATAGGAAAGCAGGGACAGGGCAGAGTCCAGACCGAGCTGATCGATTGGACACGGTCCCCCAGGCTTGACAGATCGTGCATGGGCACGTTCTTCCGGGAGGGTTCTTGCGCCTGCGAGAAGGTTGGGCAATTTGTATATAAAACCAAAACCAAAACCTTGCGGACTTACGAACTGACGAAAATAGACCGCATGACCTGTTCTCTCGGCGCACCGTGCGAGCGAACCAGGCTGCTTTGGTTTGCTAGCATGCTCGCCAGCTTGATAGAGGTGGCTGCTCGGGCTTGTTCGGACTTAACTTTTAACAATGATGAAAGACCGGATTGTAACGTATATACAGACCTAACCTGACTGAGACTAAGTTTGCGACTCATGACTGTCAAAAGGATCAGCGCATCAATGTGTGTCGTTTCAAAGCACGGAGTCTGAGACAGTGTTTACCCTAGCTCGACCGGCCGCCACGTTTAACCACATCGTATACCCAATGAATAGCGACCGAATAGAGGCTTCGAAGTCAGAGTCAAATGGAAACTGGAACGACGAAACCCACCACCACACTGTGTGTGAGCATACTTATGCAAGACATGCGGTCCATGCGGACAACATACAGCAACGTTTCTCAGATCTTCGCTCCTTCCATGTATCGGGCTTATCCCTAACCAAGTCACATTCGACATCGGCGGTAGGGAAACTCCGTAGCACTTATCTATAGAAAAATAGGTCTTCCAAGTTGGCACTGGTTGCAATTATTTTGAGGCACGAGCAGGGACACCTGGCCACAGCAGTGAACGTTTGCAGGTGTCTGACCGTGAAAGGAAGAATGAACAATACGTTGGTCGTGTGCGCAAATGTTGACGTCCGATCGTGGGTGACAGACTTAGAACACGACTCTGATAGTTGAGTGTTGAGATGAACGTTCGCTTTCAGAGCGACGATTGCATTAACGAATGGGGTATACCTTACGAGCCCTTGTATTAACTTCATGAACCACAAAGGGTAAAAGGCGAGGAAGAGTGATGGTTGAGATCTTGAGACTCACCAGGTTCGGCCTGACGCGGTACTGAACGGTTTACATGCTTCGAGTGTTATGAAGTGCTGTAGAAGCCCACGGGAGCTACCGAGCTCAACGGCAGAAAAGCCCAGCTGCATATTCAGTGTTCAGGGTTGGCGGAGAGAAATTGTATAGCCTAGCCCACATATATTCCATTGTCAAGCTATTCTTGACAACGAAGTGCGGTAAGGATGGAACGCCCGTGGCGAGCCGACTTTCTTGACTGGTCGTGGATAGACTCGGTAATATGAAGACCGAGAGTCCATTCGCATCTGTCCCTGTCAGAACCTGTCAGCTGCATTGAATGCCTGGCTACATGGACGCAAATCTCAGCGCGCATCTCGTCGAAGATGTGCTCCTGAACGATTCGATCAACCCTGAAATTCATCACCGAGGACTAAAGCCTGTAGGCAGCGTAGCCTGAAGAATTCAACGCTACTCGCTGTCCTTGGCAAACAACTCAGACCTATGAGGACGGCGAACTCAGCTCGCTGCATGGATCAAGCGATAGTCACATACCCACATAAGAGATGGCCACGACGCGGGGCTACACCGTGACTGCCTCACCTTCCCTATTCATGTGTCAATGACGCAACCTGACCGACGACGTGGACGCTCTCATCGGTGCTATCAGCACCGTCTTCACCGACCAGAGCCGCAGGAACAATCAGCGAAAAAACCTTTTCACAGCCAACCACCAATCACTCACATTATACTACTGTATACAATTTTGCGCTAGGCACCTCTCCGCGCCCACAACCGCCGTCGCATACCCAGCCCAACACAGATGAATGCACGACCCACAGACGCCAAAGGTCCCGAAAAGCACCGAACCGTGGGCGCCGTCCTTCGCCCACTTGCGCTAGTGTGGACACGTCCGAGCAGCACGGACTCGCACAGTCGCCTTCGCCTGGAGAAACAAACGGGCAGCAAACGTGGATCCGCAGAGAGCACACGATTAACGTTACGTTACGCTTTCTCTCTATCGAGCGGGTAAAAGTGCTCGATCGAGTGCGGGAGAGGGAGAGAATACACGAACTGAGTTAAGTTACGTTAGGCTTTCTTCTCCTCTGATCGTGATGCCTTCGATTGAATTCGGAGGCGGCAAACTCTATCGATGCCGCGATCGCGCAGCCTATTATTCTCCCGTGTGCATGTGTGTGTGCTCGAGGCGGTTGAATCAGGGTCACGATGTGATGCCAGGCTACCGTTACCGGGGAACGTCGTCCTCGCCGACGGCGGGTCGCAGCCGTAGTGATGTAAGAGGCATTGACTCAGGGGCCTTACGAAAGTGGGATGCTTGCGTGTAAGCTGGGTGTAAGCCAGCATGCAAGTCTTCGTCTGGCTGAACAGCGAAGTCAAGAGGTCAATCGATCCCCGTAGCAACTCTTCACGCATAAACGTACCTTCGAATTTGTCGCCCGGTCAACGTGCTATAGATGATGCACACAAACGTGCGAATTAGTTCAGCAGCTGCCTGTTTCATTAGGCTATACGGAGGTGATGGGTGATATACATGCCTGCCGCTGCCATACCTTAGCAATCCGCCTCTTTGCCCGCCTCGCATTGATAGCTCCAGAGTATACAGTATAAATAAGCCTCGACTTAGCCCGTCGGTAGAACTTGCAAATAAACCGCTGCTTCAAGTGTTGTCTTCCTTATGTACAAATGAAGCCGCAGCGAGTTCCTTTCGAACGTTGACAATCAGAAATAGTCGGAGTCGATCCCGGGATGCTCCGTACGCGCCAGCGAGCCCGGCAGATCTAAGGTTACCATGCTAAACTTGAGCGTTCGAACAGAAGTGATCTGAAGCGGCGGCGGCGCCGTCGACGCCCCCATCAGACGTCGGTCGCTTGTCCGACGATAAGGTAAGGTTGACCATCCTCGCCGCGTACCCGCTCCACCCTGAAAACCTTGAAGCAGCCCCGTCAAACACTCCACTTGAACGTCCATCTGCACTGCCAGCGCAAGCTTTGCGAAGTGGAAATTCAAGCCAACAAACTCACTCATAATGAATCCGCGGGAAACAGTTCAGGCTTACGGTCTCAGTAGTACTGTAAGGCCTGCATGGCAATGAAAGCCCCTGTGGCGGCGCAGTCACTGAGCCTGCAGAAGGGTCAGGAGGCGGCGCCGCGGGAGGCGCAGGTACAATGATAACAGAGAAAGGGCGGGCTGCGCCGCCAAGGACACACATACAGTCAAAGGTACATTGGCCTTCGGCTTGCTTGAGTGGCGAGGCCTGTCAGTAATAAGCGCCCAATGATTGGCAGACGACGGATGTGGCGACCATTGGCGAACATCGACGGGCGGACCCTTTGCGCGATCGGCCGGCGGAGGCACGACAGCGCGAGACTAAGGGAACGTGCCGATCGGTTGCTGGTGTTCATGACATTCATTTGCAAGGACTTCTTTTCTACAATACAATGATTGTCGTCTCTGCTTACGCTCAGCGAGAAGTCTCGACGAAAAAGAATAGCAGCAGCGGAACTCACAGTGATCACCAAGCGGCTTCTATCAATACGAACGGTTCACTTCTGCTACTTATCCCACGTCTCACCTCGTCTCACCTCACACTTACACAGTCGAGGCTCGCGGCAACCACGGCACCCGCTGATACCCATCATCTGATCGGCGAACCCAGGTCAAGGCCGTGTACGCACCTGTTCTTCGTCGAACAGCGTTCCTGATCGATTCGATGACGTCTGACATCCCATCCAGCGGGTCCGGGGAAAATAGAAGCCACAGAGAGCAACGCACGCATACAAAGCGGCCACCATCGAACTTCATCAAAAAAATACGTCTTCTAAGAAAGCGAATGAATAAAGAAGTAAGTAAGATGAAATCAACGAAAAAACAAAGAAGCTGAAATACGCTTAGCTCGATAGCTGATGCGATGATGGACCCATGGCAGAAAATGCTCACGTACGTACCCGCGCCCGTCGCCCAGTGAGAACGCCAGTGCTGCTTATGGACCGTCCGTGTTGATGGACTCGCCCGCCCGAAACGAAAAAGGGGTGGTCATCGCTCACCGGCACCGCTCAGCACCGCGGCGGCGTTCAACTTGCCTTGTATAGAGCACGGAGGCGCCGCGGTCTGTCAATCCTACATATGTGGCTTACCGTACTTAGTGTGTCCGAGGAGGGCGCAGGCGGCGAGCCGCATCGGGGGATCGATGCTGCGCACAGGCGGGGATCTCGAATCGGTTTTGTTGACGCCGTAGACTTTCGGCGGCTACTTCGTGTTCGCGTCTGTGTTTGAAATGCCATGTAACATGCAGTGTGCGATGTTACCGTATCAAAGAGGACAATGACAATAGGTCATCGAACGCGGAGTAACCGCAGAGGTGATCAGCTGCTTACCGCTGGAGTATCGTTAAACCGGAAACGAGAGGCGGAGGTTGCACCTTGCAACTTGGTTCGTGCCAGCAGCAGACGGCGAACTACCACTGCCAGCGAGCGAGTGCTCCCAGCACTGGCTTGGTCAGCCATCTCCGACCCCGAGATTATTGTTGAAAGCCGTTGGGTGATTGCGGCTGCGGTTGAGGCAGAGCCGAAACCCGGCGGGCGGCTGATAAGTGCATGGATCGCGGTAAGCAGACCCACCTTCAACCGTTCAGACATCCATGAACGAACGTTCAATGGACCGTCGGCGAGGTCAACTGATTTTTGGATGAGTGATGCATAGTCTCCTCGCTTCCGGGCTCACCGGGACACGCTTAGACAATATACGTTGCGTGCTTTTGCGTAAATGGGTGTTATCAGGGCACCTTTGTTATCTAGCAACGCAGTTGCTCGCAAGCCAAACGCGTTCCTTGACGAATGAACTTAACTTAACTTAAGCTTAGTATATATGAATGCAATAAAGACGTACGCGGATAAGCGCTTTGGCCAAAGGAGCAGGAGCACCACCGAGGCAGACCGAGTGACGCAAAAGCAACCAGGGCGGACTTGCGAGCCGAGCCGGGCTGGCGGTCCCACTTTACTTGTAAACAGGCTGCGACCGATGTTGCGCTGCAAGACGCCCAGCCAGCTGAGAAGAAGATGAAAGCGAATGATCGAGCGAGCCTACTCGCCGCATCATATTGTGGCTCGTGATGAAAACGCAACCAATGGTCACCAACAGAGCGCTCCGCCCAGCCTTGAGGGAACGGATCGGTGTGCAAAAGAGACGGCGTTCATTAGGGAGACCGAGCGCCGGTACAAACCTGCCTCTCTGAGCCAAGCCAGAAAAAGGAAAAAGGATACAAAACAAGAAGGAGATGGGGCGGTCGCGCGAGAAATGGCAGAGAAGCGTGCGTGGGCTCGTGAGATCGCGAGCGGAGAGGCCGCGAGCGAGTCCGCGTGGGGCCCTGTGCCCATGTCGGTGCCAGACGGCCAGTGCCAAGTTCACGAGTTGCCATTGTGCTCTCGCTTACCTGTGTGCCCGTGATGCATAGGCTGGTCGTGGTCAGGCAATCGCGCGATGGAGGTGCAAGCGAACGCACGCAGTAGGTGCATCTGGTCGAGCGGAATCGAACAGCTGGCTCGTTGTAAGGGTCTACGTTAACTTACTTACGTATGTGCTTGTCGCGTTTTTCGTGCTGTCAAAGTGTCAAGTTCTTTTTTCATGAAACGCGCATGATCAAGAAACCGGCGTCTAGCGCCGCGAGAGTGGGAGAGCCAGGGGAATGATTGGCTCGATTCGATTCGAATGTTCGGTTTAAGAGTCAAGAGAGACGGTGCGTGTACGGGTGGCGCCGGTTGGTGGGCTGAGATGGAAAATAGAGCGCTTCCAAGAACAATGAGTGAGCGGTTTATTCGTAGAGATATTGCATTATTATCAAACGTTCCTTTGTGCCTCGTACGGCATTGGTAGCGTCCGCACGGGGAACGTGAGGAAACCGTTTGATAACGAACTTGACACAGAGGGGACGGAATGGCGGAGAAGACGGAGGCGGGGAATTGGCTGGGGTAAAGTTTGTCGCTCACCGCCACAATACCGAATGGGAGAGGCGCTGATACGCGTACGGGGGGCGTCAACCAAACCAAGGCGAGGGAGGCGCGGGGAGAAAGTGAGATGGATCTGAGATCGCCTCGGTTCACTCGGTTGCGGGCAGGTGCTGGGCGAGGAACCGGACTTGGACGGAGGGGTCTGGAGGGGTTCGGTTCGAGGATGACTGGATCGGGGTGATCGGCAGGGTGTTCTGGGGCGTACCTGCCCGTCGGGGAATGAATGGGTGGTGGAGAGGGAGGGAGTGAGAAAGGCTGTAAGAAGGAAGAGACCGCCCTAGTCCGCCGTCGGTCGATTGGAGGTTGAAGCAGAGATTCACAGGAGGAAATCAAGATTGAATTAATGAACAGGATTGGATTACGGCCGAGCCGGAGATTGGTGATTGGTTCGTTCCTGTTTTGTGCAGGGGGTTGCCTGTCTGTCACCTTCTTCTGCCCTTCCGTCTACCTGCTGAGTTGCTTCGCCGTGCTGGAACGCCGCACATTATAATGGATGACCTAGTTTATATATACCAGCATATCCCACCGCCCTCTCCCTCGCTGATCTGCCCTCACATCAAACAGTGCAGACGGTGTTTCCGCTTTCAGCTCCCCTTCAACTAAACTTATCCCAGATCTCCTCCAGGCCCGCACAGTATATCAACCCTCCCCTCCTGGTCTGCCATTCCATTCCATCCCCGCACCCCTCTCCCGCCTAGCAAGAACATACGCGCGATGACATCCACCCAACCCTCCATCCTGCACCGCTTTCCCCATGAGCTTCTCACGGAGATCGCCGTCCACCTCGTCGCCCTCGACCCCCTCGGCCCGCCCTCCGCCCTCGTCCCTCTCTTCCTCACCTGCAAGTACACCCACGCCACCCTCACCTCTTCCTCCTCCCTCTTTGCCCGTGTATTTCGCACCCAGTTCGACCCCGCCGCTTCTGCCCGCCGTCTCGGTCCACACGGCTCGCACGCCCCATACCTCGCCGACCAGCTCAAGCACTACTCGCAAGCCCTCTCTTTCTTCCGTAGCGGCGGTACCGGCAACAAGCATCAGTTCGTCAACGCGTTATGGCAAGCGTACATCATGTGCCTCGAGAACGACGGTCGGAACATCGCCCAGCTCGAGTGGGCAGGCGCACCCGATCTCGTCGACAGGTTTGTTAGAGGCCGCCTTGCTAATGACCGCCTGGATCAGACGGGCTGGCCGAGGGAGGACGAGGCGATATCACTCGCACTCTGGGTGATGTGGTTCACCAGCACCCCCGGTACGCCTCCTCGCTTCCCCGCTTTCCGAGAATGATGTCACGAGCTGACTTATCCCCGGCATCTCCATCCCCATCCTCCCGCACTGCACCCACAGCTCGCTTGTCGGCAGAACCCACAACCGCCCGAGGCGAGCTCGCGAACCTCCTCCTGCCCCTGGTCAACCTCCCCTTCCGCTACGCACACGCCTACGCCCCCGCCCATCACGCCACTCTCCCGCTCCCCTCGCCCACCTCGGCAAACACCCCGCCATCTGCGATCCCGCACTCGATCATCACAGCGCACGGCGCGTATCCGTCGTATGCCCAGCGAAACGTCGCCGAGGTCCCACACTTCGATCGCCACGGACGCGAGTTGTGTGCTCCGCTCGCGAGCACGGCCGCCAAACTCATCTGGTTCTCAAGGCGCGAAGTCGTGCCCGTCGGCGTGCCACCTCACCTTCCGCTCAACCGCGCTGAGGCCATCGCCAACAACAGGCATGGGCCGACGCAGGCGGATGTAAGCGAGCTGAACGCGAACAAGCACGCGAGACTGGTGGAGGGGGGTGACTGGTACGACGGCGAGGATGGCTTGCAGAATGGGCCGAGCATGGGCTGGGACGATGACTGGTGGAGGGCAGTGGACTGCACGGACATGTTTTCAAAGCCGAGCATTACGAGGACGCATTATTCGTATGGTCTTATGCGGGGGTTGTGGCAAGGGCGACTTCTGGTGCGTCCACTTTCTTCTCTCTAATTCAGCAATCTTCTATCTTCGTCTCATGCGCTAACCTCTCATCTTGTCCTAGATGCCAGAAGAAACCGGGTTCAGAAACCTCCTCGTCACGCCCACCATGCCCGCCGGCTTCTCGGAGCTCAACCCGATGTGTGCCGCCTCGCCCGTGTTCATGCGTCTGCGCGAGCACCACTCGATCGACCCAGCTGACGCGCTTGCCCCCGGGCACACCTTTGGCGCTGCGAACGCGATCGACGCCAGTCTTTGGAGGGGATGGTTGCCTGGGACGAGGACCTGGGTGGACTCTCAGGTGCGCTTTTCTCCCTCGTCGCTTCATGCCCCTGCAACCTCTGCCATTCAGCGTACTCAAACCCTTCTTCTTGTTTTCAACAGCACACCATGACTATCACGTCGCATGGACAGCCGCACACGTACGCGCACTACGATCCTGGAAGGCCATCTACGCACGACAAGGCGACGTGTCGTGCGTGCGTGGAGCGCTTCGGGGACGATATCATCGAGGAGCGGGAGCACGATGAGGATTATGTCCAGGCCCAGGGCATGGGAGGACAGCCTGCGGGCGACGAGCAGGATGGGGAATGGGAAGACGAGTCGATGAGCTCGGGCGACGAGGACATGGCCGTGGACGAGACGATCGAGATGGTGTACGAGAGCGTCGGACTTGGGCGTCGACAAGGGGCGGGAACAGAAGCGGATGTGGAGATGACGGACAGCAGCGAGGCGGGCGAATTTGCCACAGAGGAGTACTGCGTCAAGCGGCGGTGCGACGGCGTGCAGGACATCGTCTTCTCGGGCGAGACCGACCTCGCGCACGGGCTCGCGTGGAACCACTATCGCTTCCTCGGCCGTGTGCGCACGTGGGACGGGCTCGTTGCGATCCTGCGCATTCCCGGTGGTGCGCCGCTCGCCACGAACGCGGGGTCGCCCACGAATCCGCAATACAACGAGAATGGCATTGGCTGGTGGGTTTTTACGGGGTATGTCGTTGGCGGGCGCAACTTTGTGGGGACGTGGCGGAGCGTGACGGGCGGCGATCCGAGGGTGCCTGGGTGGGAGGGCGCGGTGGTGATGAGTCGGCGGGACGGGGAGTGAGGAGGATGGAGGATCATCAGCTCGACAGCTTCGGGCTCAAAACACGATTTCGATGCCCTCGACATTTCAAACGCAAACACTTGGATATCTCGGCTCTCATTACACGACGCAACGCAACGCTACGATCTACACTACTCCTAGACTTCAAATCTCCTGGCCTTGGTCATTATCGAAACGGCCCAACAACGTGCATTGATTTTACCACGTACGCTATATTTCTTTTCGCTCGCATTGTAGCACCCTTCTTTATTACCCGCGACATCACTCTTCCGCCCCTCCCTATTCGACTTTCACACCCGTGTGTCGTGTTTGTTCTCTTCCGTCTCTTTGTTTGTTGCAACTATCTCATCGCCTCTGGCCGCGGCACATGCACATCTCTCGTCTCGTCTCATCTCACCTCATTTGCTTTGCCTTGTCGATACCGCCCGTACATAGTCTCACATCATACCACGCATTGCACCATCGGACATGCAGTATCTTCTTACATCTACCTCACTCGATCTCGCGCATTGTTATCCACCGCATTGATATCCCCTAGTCCTAGTAATATCATGTATCCTCGCATTGTACAAGCCGGAGGCGTAATACACACAATTGTCACTTCTTTTCTTCGTGCGTGAATGTGCATGCTAGGTAGAAGCTTGAAGACGCCACCGCTCGCTTGTGCCGGTAGTAGACTGACTACCTTTCGCCGGTCAGGAACTTACCAAATTGTGCATTAGCTCCGTCGTTAGATCCTCAGTCGCACAAACGCGGCGTCTCAGGGAAGGTCCCATGAGCGTCGTGTCCTTTTCGAAAAACGCTTTCGGCCACAGGGTTACCGATGATGCTCGTGAAGCGATCGTGCAAAGAAAAAGGCTTCTTGGATCCAAGCTACCACTCGCTTCCAAACGTTGAACCAGCTTTAGATTGGAAACCTCCAGCCTGTCCGTAGCGGCACGGCAAACGCCTCAACGGTTGATGCGCCCCAGGAACGTGCGCACATATGTGCGCCGTCCCGCGGGTAAGCTGCAGTGATATTATTACCGTTGTTGCGCCAGGACGAGACCGTGACCAGCCGACAGGCTCTCGGTGACACGGCGGTGAGCGTGTCAGCTCGTGGCGGTGTCCGGTGTTCTCGATGGGCACTTGCTGGTGTTGTCGTTGCCGCTATGTATATATCTTTGCTATAATTATGATGGTCTAGTGTGAAGGTAAGAGTTCGAAGGAAGGAAACTTGGGGAGCATTTGGACGATGCATCGTTGGGGACATGAGGAAATGGTGATCCCCGTCTGTGGACCGTCTTGTCGTCTCGCGAGTGGGTGAAGTGTTGGGCCGCCGCCGCCACCATGCGAGGACGGCGCAGCTGCGATGTGCGATGGCTTGGCGGCCGACACGAACGAGATCCTGCTCAGCGCTCATTTTCACGTTATTGTGCACGGGCTTGAGGAAGAGCCGTGGCCACAGCTGATCATAAAAAAGGTTAAGATTGTGAAAGAAACGTTGCAAGCGCCGGCCTAGAACTGCGAGCAAGGTACAGTTCCGCAACGATGTCGTCGCCACATCGTATGCAGAGAACCATTCGGGACGCGCAGCCGAGCAGCGATAAGGACTACCTTCACGTCGTCTTCGGCGGCGGCGGTGGCGGATTCGCGCACCCCGTTTATCAGCGCTTCTCTGCTGTATTGTGTGCTGTAAACTCAGAACTCAACGTTTCGCGCCGCTGTGCTGGTGCCCAGCTGGCACGGTGATCGGGCAGCAGTGACGACTTCCAGGCACGAACATACGGCGCAGGATAAGAGTATAAAGTAGGACAAGGTTAGGTTTTTACTCTTTTGATGCGGGATGCCCTTCTTTCTTGTTTTGTAAGCTGAACGCCTTTACAGGAAGTAGCAAGTGGGAAGCCAGGGGGTGGAGTTGGAATTCGGGAACGTGTGGGCCGAGTGGCCGTTGATGCGAAGAATTCATATGTTGCGCGTTCATTCATGTGTTGTATGTCATCGTACGAGCGTCGTTCATTCCAAAACGGAATGAGCGGGTCAACCAAGTGCCACTCGCTCGCTTCAAGGGGGAGCTGGGGATCTTCGCTCAAGCAGTGTGCTCGCGGCCATCAGAGTACACTGCGTTGCCGACCGAGCGCAGCATTGGCGAAAAGATGTTCTCATCGATGCGGCGTTCGTAGACGGCGTCTCTGAGTTCTGGAGGTTTCGGGGGTGCGTAACCAGTGTGATGATGAAGACTGCGTGCGTTTAATCGCGCAGAAGAGAAGGTGAGTTCATACAGAAGCGTAGACTGGGGGCGCAACAAGTTTAAGATAACACGGGGATTGGCCGAGCTATTTCCGCCCAATAAGCGGAGGGTCGGAGATTCCCGGTGCCTGGCGCGTTCCCCCGCTCGCCCACTGTGTGCGGAGGCGGCCTCGCGTCGGGCCGCGGGCAGCCGCGGGCGCCTTTGGTGTGTGCAACCGTCATCGCTGTGACGCTGGTTCTCGTCGAGCAGCTGTCAACTAGCGATGCACATATCTTCCATTCCATCTCCTCGACCCCGAGCCTCCGGTCCCACATCAGCGGAGGACACCGATGTGATACCTGGACCGGACCAAGTCTGGGTCTGGGCGGGAAAGCTCTTCGATCCGCGCACAGGCATCCTCCAACCGCGGCGCATCGTCGTCGTCAACAAGTCCTCGGGCCTCGTCCAGGAGATCAAAGGCTACAAGTCCGACCTCGCAGCGGAGGCCCTCATGAGCGCGCACGCCGAGGCTGGCGGCGAGAACATCGACTGCATGAAGCAGACCGTATTGCCGGGGCTTGTGGACGCACATGTGCATCGTGAGCCGTGCTCAGTCGCGACTTGCAAACAGCCATGATGCTAACTCATCGGCACCAAGTCTTCTTGCATCCGTACTCGGAGGTGTCATGGGACGACCAAGTAACGAAATGGAGTCTCGCCGAGCGGACGATTCGCGCGACAGTCAATGCTCGCAAGACGCTGATGGCGGGGTATACGACTGTTCGGTGGGTGATTACATTCAATACCGTTCAATATGCTCACCTGAATGCAGTGACCTCGGCACAGAAGGCGCCGGTGACGCTGACATTGCCCTGCGCAATGCCCTCTCAGGGCCTGACGCGCTTATCCCTGGCCCACGATACTTTTGCGCGAACCGCGCTATTGTCCCCACCGGTGCTTATGGTGCGTTCTTTTGCCCCTTTTACCAACCGCCACGGTCTGTCTATGAGTAACTCACACCTCTCCTAAAGGGCCAAAAAGCTCGCTTTATGTGAACCAGAATGGTGTGGATGGGGTAACAGGCGCAGAGGTGGCAGACGGGGTCGATGAATGCGTCAAGGCTGTTAGACGGCAGATCGGTGCTGGTGCTGATTGGATCAAGGTATGTCCAGCATATCCTCTCACCTTCATCCCGAAAATGCATGCTCACTGGCACACTTGATCCAAGATCTACGCAGGTGAACCAATCTCACGATTCGTTCATTTTATGTAGATTAACCTGGCGATTTTTTTTCCACCCTCAAATCCCAAAACCTCAAGAATACTCCTTCCGCTCGCGTCATGCTACTGTCTCCTCAGCCTCTCGGGCGCCCCTCGCAACATTCAACGACACCGAGCTCAAAGCCATAATTGACACCGCCCACGCTCTCGGCGTCAAAGTCGCCGCACACGCCGTCTCCGCACGCGTCGTAAGCACCCTCGTCAGACTAGGCATCGACACGATCGAGCACGGGTGGGATGTCGCCTCCTCATTCTCAGGGCCAGACAATGTCCCGCCGATCCTGTCGCCAGAAGAACGAGAGGCAGTCCGTCTCCTCTCGGACCCCTCATCGCACACGCGCTGGGTGCCCACGCTCGCGGTGTACGAAGCGCTTTCCTCCCCGTCGGCGCCTCCCAGAGGTAGAAAGGCGGATGATTCGTGGGCGAAGGGACAGCGTACGTTTCGCAATGCGCTCGCTGCCGGGGTGCCGCCGAACAAGATCGCAGCGGGTGGGGATACAGGCGCGTTCGCGCACGGGGCGAACGCACGCGAGATTGTGCTGCTTCACCGTCTCGGTTTGTCGTGGGCGGAGGCCCTGCGCGCTGCGACGCTCGGCGCGTGGGAGGCCGTGCGGTCGATGCGCTGGGAAGGAGCTGCGGGACGCGAGCGGCTTGCCCGCGTAGGGGAGATGGAGGAGAGTGAACAAGATGCCGGGGCGAACGAGGTCCCGTTTGGGGTGCTGGAGAGGGGGTGGCTGGCTGATCTGGTGGCGACGGAGGGCGATGTGGTGGGTGATCTTGAGGGGGCACTGAGGCCTGAGAACGTTGGGTTTGTGATGAAGGGCGGCAGGGTGTATAAGAGGGATGGACGGGAGGTGGTTTGATGCGTTGCAAATTCGAGTGTAGTGGTATACTGGAGACCGGGACAACGAAGACGGTGGGGGCGCGTTATTACAACAGTATGTCTGTCTGCAACTTGAACGTATGACATTGAAAGCACCCACAGTTTGCAATTTTGAAGCTGGGCAGGCTGGCATTAGGTGTCGTGAATTGACTTTCGGCTCAGCACGAAGTTGGAACAATTACTATCTCTCAATGCGACTGATATCAAGATATCTCGCCAGGGAATTCCTGAGCTAAGCCCTCAGTTGCAGTGTTTACGTTCTCAAAACTTTTTCGGGAGTCTTGTTATGTAAACAGGTGGCATTGAATCCGAGACTGTTGCCTCTGTGTCGCCCTAATTCTCTCCTTCGCCTTCTTGTCCCTGTCTTTGCACTTTGTGCAACACTGTCCGACTGCTCTCCCCATTCTACCAAAAGTCCACAATGTCTGCTTATCGCGGATACCGCAAGCCAGATGTACTGAGTGCGGCTCAGCCTGGCCGCGACGTCGTCATCTACGCCAAATACATGTTCGACCCGCGCGACTTCCAGCTTCATCCGAATCCTTTCATCATCGTCAGAAAGACCACTGGGCTTGTTAAGCTCGCGGGGACACTTATGCCATGTTACCGCTCCATAGACCGTCGATATACCGAGCGTGAAGTCGAGGTGATCGATTTGGGGGAGCAGACGCTTCTGCCGGGTCTGGTGGATGCACATGTTCACCGTACGTGGCTCAGTAATCACGCTGACGGGCACCACTGATCTTGGTCCTTCAACCACAAGTTTTTCTTCGTCCACGCGCGGAGGGAGACCATATTTCCAGGGATAATGCTGCAGAGCAGACGATCCGCGCGACGGTGCACGCACGCGAGACGCTCATGGCCGGATACACCTCTGTCCGGTGAGCGTTCCCCGTATCATGCTTTCCATGGCCATTTATCTGACCACAGCGCTCTCAAAGCGATCTCGGAACCGCAGGCGCAGGCGACGCTGACATTGCCCTGCGCAGCGCACTCGCTGGACGAAATGCGCTCCTCCCTGGACCACGATACTTTTGTGCGACCCGCGGTATTGCGCCCTCTGGTGTGTGTGGTGAGCTCAGTATCACGTTGGTCACACTGTGATTATCCATTTGACTGATGTTGCGTTTACAGGGCTACAGAGCTCGGGGAGCCAGAGCAGGTTCAGTGTAGTGACGGGCGCAGACTTGGCTGATGGAGTCGACGAATGCATCAGAGTAGTCAGGCGTCAGGTCGGCGCTGGAGCTGATTGGATAATGGTGCGTTCAAGCACTGTTTCACCGTCGGTGATTAGGCCTTCTTCTCACATGTCACGGCAGATCTACGCAGGTATGCGAGACTTTGCAGCCATGTTCCCAGTTCACGAGATCACGAAGCTTTGCTGACGCATCACGTGGGTTTCTCCAGAGCATCCTGTTAGTCCCCGTTGCGAATCCTCGTCTTCTTCTCGACGTCTACCAGTCATAGCCTTCAACCGAGACGAGTTGAGAGCGATTATCGATACTGCACACGCTCTGGGAGTTAAAGTTGCCGCCCACGCCAACACGACATCCGTCTTCAGCACTCTTGTGAGGCTCGGTGTTGACACTGTTGAGCATGGCTGGAATGTGGCATCATCCTGCTCGACTTTGATGGGGCTTCGTGACATGGGAAGGGAGTGTCCACCCTCGAAGCGGCTGTCGCCAGAAGAAATGCTTGCGCTCAAGCTTCTCGAGGACCCGTCGTCACGCACTCGCTGGGTACCAGCAGTAACCGAGTGCAGCGATGCCCTTCCCCTGTCGGACCAAAGCTCAGAATCAAAGCCAAGTGCATCTGATCTGGAGAAGGCCAAAAACTCGGTTCGTAATGCGCTCGTTCAAAATCTGCCGTCTCGCAAGTTGGCCATCGGCGGAAACACTGGAGTTACCCTCCCTCATGGGTCTAACGCCCAGGGGGTTGTGCTTTTTCATCGCTTGCTTTGCCAGGTTGACGCAGAGTCCCAACTTGGGGGACGTGGACCTCCTTGGGCGGAGGCGCTCCGCGCAGCGACGCTTGGTGGATGGGAAGCCATCCGTTCTATGAGATGGAAGGAGGGAGAGGAACCTGGGCCCATGGATGACGAAGGCTCAAATGCGGAGACTGATGATGTGGCATTTGGGGTAATCGAGATAGGCTGGGCTGCTGACATCATCGCGACCACCGGGGATGTGGTGAACGATTTGGAGGCAGCGCTTGATCCAGCAAACATAACGTTCGTCATGAAAGGTGGGAGGGTCTTCAAACGAGACGGAAAAGAGACGATGGGGGATGAAGCCAATTTCAGTGTCGGCACCCCGAGCGAAGACAATTTGGAGCCCATAGTTCCCGTCGAAGATGAAGTCGACTGTGGGTATGCTGTGGATTATTCAGGTGCGAATGGAAACGGTAGGGAACCATTTGCTGCAGAAGGTAGTGGTGCGTGTTATGTCCTTGTTGTTTTTGCCAGGTTTTGAAACCCCTTCATATCGAGTAGGCAATACACTCACTCAAGCCCACGCGGAGCCTACGACCGCAAGATCAACAAATCAGCCCGGGGAAAATGAGAGTCCCACCGGCACTCGTGAGGGGCCCGAGCCCATCGGAGGGCATCCTGGTGGCCAAGCCGACGCAATGAATAGCGTCCCGGCGCCCGTGGTACGAGCAGGAACAGACGGTGACAAAGTGCAGAGGGCCGAAGGAAGCAGGGGCACCAAACGGAGGCTCCAAGATGACGGAGAGGGACTTAGGCAGAATAAACGAAGTGATAAAGGTAAAGAAAAAGAAGAAGGTCAGCCTCAATATAACCATGCGAGTAGGTTACGGGGATAGGTGGCGAAACCGATGAATGCGAAGATATTTAATAGCGCTCGTAACGTCATTAGTATGCATAGGTTCTAATAATCGTGGACTTCATTCTGAGCGGGACTCGCAGCATTCTTCTACTAGAGTGCTCACTAGTCAGACTAGTCATGTACTTTTATACCCAAAGCCCCTACGACATCATCAGTGTGCAAAGTGACGCAAGCAAACCTGGAGTATTCCCGGATATATTGACGAGATTATTGAATACTTCGGCCCAAGCACGAGTGAGGATAGCGGACAAAACTACAAGTGCAGTGAGAGTGGGCAGAGAAAAAGACGACGAGGGCCTAGGTGTCCCGGCATGATGTCTGACGGATGGCTAAGGAAAAAATGATCGCGTCGAGGGAAGAGGGCAAGAGGAAATGCGGGACGCAGGCCGGAGGGTACCGTTTGTTAAATATCGAAGGTATCAAAGCTCAGAAAACCCTCGCCCAAGAGGTACCCAGCACCGTACATCACGTTCGAGCGTTGTGCGATGCCTCGTGTTCCGTCAGGTACCAGGTCCATCCAATAAGTTGTAGTACTGGTATGTACTGAAAACGCTCAAGCGGCAGAAGAGAACATAACATAGGGAATTTCTCAATATTCAACAAGGTATGTCAGAAAACGAGCAATACCTCGACATGATGGCTAGATGATGAGCGGATAACATACGAAAGACAAAACGTTGAGCATGCGCAACTGTGACGGCAACACTAGTACCACTAAGGACCATGTTCCTTCCAGAGGCACGTTTTGATCAATCATTCGGATGAGCGATAGCAAGCCATCGCGATAGAAGGAAGCTGTGATGATGCTTCACGAAATTTCTTTGTGGTGGGGCATGGATCGAGCAAGGATGTCAGAAAACGCAAGATTAAATTTAATGCTAGGTACATCTCTACGAGACATACACGACCGCGCGTGCGTGTACCCCCTCCACTGTGCCGCCAATCTATAGCACAACCTACACAACCTACCGGTCGACCTCGCTGCAAAGAAAGAATAAGTAAACGCAACTACAAAGGAAGATGGCATCAGGCCGAAACCGTACCCGAACACAAGATCCTATGGACACGTGTTGTTAGATAGGGACGAATGCACACACAAGACGTCAAAACGTACCATAGTACCGATGATGGCAACGGCGTCTGCAAGCATGTGCTATGAAGAAACGTCAGTATCATGACGCTCACTAGACCTCATAGGTGTCTTACATCTGTGAACACAGTCAGCGGCTGGTCGTATATCATAAAGCAAATGATACTTACGTCTCATCATGAAGTCAGAACCCGCAAGGTGAGCAAATCCAGGTGCGCGAATCTTGCAACGGTATGGGCGGTTGGTGCCATCCCTAGAACGCGTATTGAATAAAGGGTTGTGCAGATAACAAATATAGAACATACGACACGAGGTAGACGGCCATCTCGCCCTTGGGCGCCTCAATAGCGCTGTAAGTCTCGCCAGGGGGAACGGAGTAACCCTCGGAGAAGAGCTGTGGAATTATGAGCGACTAATCTCCATTCCTTTTAAGGATGTAATCAAACCTTGAAGTGATGAATGAGAGACTCCATGCTCTCCTTCATGGACGCGCGAGGTGGTGGGACGAGCTTGTTATCGTCGATCTTGACAGCACCAGTGGGCATCTTGTTCAAGCACTGCACAGCAAATTTAGTCCACCATTAGCCTCGTATGAGAATAATTGAACCCACCTGGTGAATAATGTGCAACGACTCTCTGAACTCCTGAACACGGCACAAGTACCGGTCATAGCAATCCCCATTCTTCCCCACCGGCACCTCAAACTCGACCTCATCATACTTATCATACGGCGCAACCTTTCTTAGATCCCACGGAATCCCGCTCCCTCTGAGCATAACACCCGAGAACGAGTAATCGAGCGCCTCCTGCGCAGTGACGATGCCGATGCCGACCGTGCGCTCCTTCCAAATGCGGTTCCCGGTCACGACCTCCTCGATCTCGTCGACGCGGGACGAGAACTGGGTCGCCCACATGTGGATGTCCTCGAGCAGGCCGTGCGGGATGTCGAACGCGACGCCGCCCGGCCGCACGTACGCGGCGTGCATGCGCGCGCCCGAGACGCGCTCGTAGAACTCCATGAGCTTTTCGCGCTCTTCGAAGCCCCACAGGAAGGGCGTCAGGGCGCCAACGTCCATGGCGTGCGTGAGGACAGCCATCAGGTCTATGAGGAAAATGGTGAGGAGGGGTAGGAGGAGGGAGGTGGTGTGGTGGGTGACGCACGAGAGAGGACACGGGTGATTTCGCCGAAGAGGGTACGAATCCACTTGGCGCGCTCGGGAACCTCGATGTTGAGCAGCTTCTCGACGGCGAGGGAGAAGCAGAGTTCGTTCGTCACTGCGCAAATGAGGGACGGGGTCTAAGCGGCGAAAGCGCGACATCAAGCGAGTTACTCACTCATGGAGACGTAGTCGAGACGGTCAAAATAAGGAAGGGCTTGAGTGTAAGTCTTGTATTCGATCAGTTTCTCAGTACCACGGTGAAGGAGACCGACGTGCTGGAAGAGGGCAATGAGCTATCGTATGACGCCGAAATGCAGGTAAAACACACGGGGTCAGCGCGGAGAATCTCCTCGCCGTTGAGCTCCAGTATCATGCGGAGCACACCGTGAGCGGCAGGATGCTGAGGACTATCAAAACATTAACCACACATTTCAACCTCTTCACGTTGAGCTGCGCGCTCACCCAAAGTTAACTGCATACACCCATGTCAGCTATCGTTCAACCATATGCTCAAGCTCAAAACAAACGCACCCGTAAAGTGCCTCAGCTTCGCATCCGCCCTTGTGCCCGTCTCCGCCAAAATCTCAGCCGCGGTCAGCCCATGCAAATCCTCCACCGTGTGCGCCTGAAACACGTTTTTGGCCCCGCGCGTGCGAGCGCCCAGCTCGGCGTCGCTCTCCTTTTGCTCCTGGCGGCGCGGCGTGCTCGTCGACAAAGTCCTGGTAGCCGCATTGGCGGAGCGAGCGGCATTGCGCAGGGGGAGATGGCGGCGGAGGAGTGCGCTGGCCATCCTGACTGGAGGTGGTATGGTGGTAGGTCGTCGTTGACGGCGTTGTTGAGCTCAACTCGCGCGGATGTGCGGTGGAAATCGGCTCGCTTATGTCAGCGAGCGTGGTGTGGCTGTGATGCGTGTCTCCCTCCATGCAACCCCCCCAGCGTCGAGGGGTCGCGAGATTCCCCCTGGCTCTCAGGCGCGCAGTACGCAGCCTCTCGTTACTTTCCATCTCCTCCTACCCTAGCCGCCGAGCACGACGATGAGGTGCACACACTACCTATGGACAGCGCTTCTTGCGCTCGCACCGGCCGTACTGGTGCGCGCCGACGACGCTCCATGCACCCTGCACGACGGGAACAACTTCTACGACCTCAGCAGGCTCACGGCCAAGTACGCATGATTGATTCCCTTGCGCGGGCGGCTCGCGACGCGCTCTGACGCTGATTGTCTCGGAGGATAGCCAGGACTACAAGATGACCTCGGAAAGGGGCCACGATTTCTACATGAACGTCTGCAGGCCCGTGGTCACCGAGACCTGGAACATCCAGGTCCCGACTGAGGACGTTGGCGGCTTCATTCGTCGCGACCATGGCGACTTCTCCATAGGGTGCGTCTCTCCCTACAATCGCTCAATATGCAAGTATTGACATGGTAATCCAAATACTCCATGCAGGAGAGCAAACGATACCCTCGCTTTCAAGGAAGGCGACCTGCTCATGCGCATGACCGGCGGCACCCCATGCCCCAACTCCGATTCCACGGGCAGTGCCACCATCAGATTCATATGCGATGAGTCCGTGTATGCAGCTGGTACGTCCTTTCTACTCGATGAAGCGTTGACGGGCGTCCTCACTCTGTCTCCATAATAGGCACCCCAGTCGTGATATCCCAATACCCAGAAGAGGACGACGTAGCGTGCTACTACGATCTCGAATGGCGGACCCACGTACGTTCCAACCATGTCTAGACGCGTACTCCACACTTAGAGACCATCCAGTTCGCCTGTCCAAAAGGCGAAAGCTCCATCTTCCACGGCATCCTCATCTTCCTCGTCATCTTGTACGCCCTCCTCACCCCACCCCTCCCTTCACCCCCCACTAACCCACCCCACAGCACCATAATAACCCTCATGCTCCTCATAGTCGGCAGCACCCTCTACAACCGCTTCGTCCTCCGCCGCACAGGCTACTCCCAGCTCCCCACCTTCTCCCCCTCCAACCCCACAGCATCCCTATCCGACGCCCTCTCCCTCCTCACCGACATCGCCCACATCGCACTCGAGCGCCTCCACGACGCATGGGACACCCTCGACCTCCGCTCCCGCCTCCACTTCTCCGGCGCCAGTACCGGCATGGGCGGAGGTATGGGCGGACGCATGCCTGGCAGCGGTGGCGCGAGCGGACCGTGGCGCGGCGCAGCGGCGAGGGGCACGACGAACTCGGTGTCGCACCACTGGAACGTGGCCTCGGAGGAAGAGGCGATGCTCGCGCCGGAGGAGCTCGACGAGCCGTACCTCGCTGGCGTGGACGCGGGCTCGCGCGGACGCGAGTTCCACCTTGCCACGACGGGCGAGGCGGATGCTGTCGTCTGGGAGGACGAGGAGGATGCGCGCGGGGGCGAGCCTACTATTCGATTGTGAAACGACGTATATGATGTTGTGTAAGGAACGAATATATGCGCGGAAGGCTTGATCTACGAATTCTATTGATGTTTGGCTGACATTATTCGTCTGCGTTTCACGTCAGTCCTTGCAGGCAACGTCTGCAAGGAGCCTTCACTCGTTGATTCACACAAATTTATCATCCGAGAAATCGATTACGCGACGATACATGTAAAAGAATGGACAAGTACAAGTAGCCCAAGCGGACCTCTGCACTAGACACGAAAACACCTGAGATCGAAACCTCTGGCATCCCGCAAAGAACAACATGCTCCTCCGAAATCGTCACCCACAACAACTAAAGTATCCAAGTAAACTCCAACACCCCGCCATCAACGACCGAAAGTCTGTCCAAAAGTCCAAACAAAGTGTCTGAGAAGAGATGGGGAGCTATTATCGCTATATAGCTATGATCGTCCAATGCGTAAATGAGAAAAAGTGATGGGAAAATATAAAAGCGAACGCGTCAAACCGAACCGAAACTGAGTGAAACCGTGTCCTAGTTCTAGTTTTTCACGCCCGAAACCTGCGTGTGGGGCGAGGGGTTATAAGAAGCTGCCCCATATATCCGTCCGATGGCTGATGCTCCTAGAAGCAAGCCGCTTAGAAGATGAAGGCGGCACCAGCAACGGCCGAGACGAGGAACGCGGCGATGGGGGCAGCGTGCAGGCTGAAGGAACCGACGGCACCGCCACTGTTGAAGCTCGAGGGGGTGCTGCTTGGCGAGGAGCTCGTAGCGCTGCTGGCACTGCTGCTCGCGGGAGCTCTAATGACAAATGACATGTGTCAGCATCAATAGCAGAAAAGGGGGGAGAGGAGTAAACGTACAGAGAGCCGGTGCTCGTAGGGTTGTAGCTCGAAGGAAGGGTCTGGCTCGAGACGGAGGCCGTGCTCGAGGGGGAGGCGGTGGCCTGGCCAATGTCGAACTGGGGCGTGTTACTGTAGACGGTGTTGATGTCGCTGTGCAATAGGAGAAAGGGGCCCGCGTCAGCTGTCTGCTGCTGCGCATTAACGCAATGTGATATGATATGCCACTTACCCAATCTTGATGGCCTCAAAGGAGTAGCCACTGCCGACGGGGACAGTGGGCAGCTCGAAGGTGGCCGAGCCGGAGGCGGTCTGGACAGTGCTCACAAGAGCGTAAGCGTTGTGGAATACGGTGTTGACGAGCTCGAGCGAAAAGGTCGAGGGGTCCTCGGTAGTGGCGGTCCAGGTGATGGTGACCTGGGCACCGTTCGTGACACTAGTGGTGGGGGTGTTGAGCGTCAGAGCCGACGCCAGAGGGGCAATGAGGGCAAGAGCACTGTTTAGATGTGTGTGAGCGAGATTGTTAGTCCAGATGAGAGAGATACTTACGCGAGCTTGTTGAACATGGTGGTCGTTATGGGGCGGGTAAGGAGAGAAGAGGGGGCAGGTTCAAGGACAGAAGGACAGCGAACGACTGAGGGCGAGTCTCAACTTGGCTCACTGTTTTTATATGGAAGCGGGAAGGGTCGCGTTTCTTCCCACGACGGCTTCTTCATGGGCAAGCCACACATGCCGAACACGAGATGCCTCGATCGCCGCTTTTCCAGCCACAATAGAATCACAAACAGACATTCATACGCCCGCCCATCTCAAGCACCCTCTTCCTCTATCAGTCTGCTGACCACCACTAGCCACCACTACGCCCAGCGTGCAAGACCGAGACCGGCGGGACCACATGGCATCTAAGGCCCGGACCTCGGCAGTGACGACCAAAAAACAGAACGACCAAGTCCGCTCGGGACTGTATAATAATAGCACAGCATCAACAAACGCTGCCCTGCCCTAAGCGCACGCCATTCTCTCCTCCCTGCAACCGTGCCTGCCTCTCTCCAAGTCTCGGACACGGGCAGAAACTGCTGGAACGCGCCGGAAGGGCTGTGTGGCCTCAGGCTATATAGCCGCTAATAGATCTGCACAAAGAAATCACAAGTCAGAAATAGCCCGTGAGACTGCTTCTCGTCTTCCTCCCCCGCATGAAAAGCGCAAGGCCGCAACGCCAACGAGCCAAGCTGCCAAGCTGCAGGAAAGAAGCCACGTCCACACTCACCTCGTCAAACGGCCGGGTGTCAGCGAAGCAGCTCTCCCAGACCTCGTTCACCGCCCGCTCCGCCGCCGCCTCGTCTGGGCAGTTCGGGTTCGCTCGCACCGACAACACAGCGCGCCGTCTCACACACGTCTGGGAGCCAGAGCCGATCAGCCGAACCGAGGGGATGGGCAATGGGTCGAGTGCACGTTTTGACGCGCGGCCGACACGAGCATCATGATAGTGCGGTCCCCCGGTTTCATTATTAGCGCAAGCGGTGCGAAGGTGGTCGTGTCATTTGATGTCCAAGTAAGGTGCGTGCGTGAGTGCATAGTTGTGCATGTGCAGCCATCCAGTGATGTACAAGGTCGAGGGAACGAGCGCGAGTTTAGGGCGTGAAAAGTGCGAGTGAGTGAGCTGATATAGAAGCAGATGCGGGTGATTAGACGCACCTGGTGCTGTTTCGAGAAGGCAACGAAGCCACGCCCAAGTTCACGAAAGAACCTACAGTCCCCGCTGAGACTATTTGCTCTGATCTGTTTTCGGCCGTAAGTATTGTCAGCTCTGTCGCTAGTGGAGGGCATATGAACTATAGGGGATAAAATCTGTTTGCGCAACTCATGTAGTGTTGCGTGACCACAAGCACACCGAACGACCGCGCTAAGCACGTGTGTGCAGAGAGAAAAAAGCTAGCGCCATCCCCACGTTTCAAACCCAGTCTCTGGCACGGTGCACCACGAGACCGAGCACGTCAAATGATCCGAGAAGACACAAAGTATTCAGGAGAATCAAGAGAGGAACGGCATGAACGGCAAGAACAATGCAAAACCCGTCCCGTCGCAAACCCCCCCAAGTCCCAGATTCCAAGAGAAAGACGAAGAACAGACAGCACCACAAAAACGGCGAAGCCAAGCGAAACGCAAACGGATAAAATTCGTCGGAAGCACCCACCTCACTACACGCATGATGCCTCAAATCCGCCCAGTCGACCTTAAACGCGCAGTGGTCGTACATATGCACGAGCTCGTGCGTGAGCGTGTCCTCCATGTGCCGCTTCCCGCCGAACCCGCCCTGGCAGAGCACGATCGCGCCCGCGGGGTGGAACCCACCCGCGCGCCCCGCCGCCGCGTCGCACGGCGCACACACGATGTTTTCTGGTGGGACGGCACACCCCGAGAGGCGCAGGTGCTTGAGCATGAACACGACCGAGGGGCCTGGGTGCGCGTAGTTAGACACGCATTTATGCAAGGTGGAGGGCAACGCACTGTAGTTCAGGAGCTCCCTCTTCCACGTCTCGCACATCCGGTACTTCTGCTCCTCCGCGCTCTGCTGGCGCTCTTCGGGTGTGAGCCCGACGCCTGTCGCGAACGCCGCCTTGCGCAGCCATTTCCGGAACGCGGGTGACTCTTCCGTCGCTGTCTTCTGCGCGGATGCGGGCGGGGTGCTTGAGCTGGAAGAGGTATTAGGGGAGTCCATCGAAGGCGCGCGCGTGTCGCGACGGAGGATCGGAGAACGGGTGAGCGGGTGAGGGAAGGTAGGGTACTGTTCCCACGGGCCTTGTCTTCCTCGCGCCTTACGCGTCTGGCGGCGTGGTGCAATTGGGACGCAATACGATCCACGCTTGCCACTGTTTCTTGAGCTTGCTCTCATTGACATACGGTCGCTCTTTCCTCCCGCCTAATACGACGCATACATGCAGCGAAAGGACTCGTATCTCCGCCGGTTGGTGGTCGTCTCGTCTCATCATGGAACTCTCCTATCTCACTCTTACTAGTCCTTTGAGTTCTCCCTCGAGTTGACTTCACGCATTCTTCCATTGCGTATCTTTTACCTCTTATCAAAGCTTCTTCGAAGGGTCGTCTTTCGCGAGATCACTCTCGATCATCCAGCTTGCCCGTCATCACCCGGAACCTCAGGTCAATGACCCAACGCTACACTCCTCACATGCTGGAGAATTGGTTATCTCTTCCTGAGATCATATGGATCGATAGTACAACGCATACAGTCTACCCATCGCGACAAGGTCGGTGCCGGACGAAGTACCGCTACCGCGGCGGGTGCGTTTCCTAGAGTCTCTTCAAAACGCTGTTAGCTAACACCTTTCCTTCGCGTACATGGCTGTTTTGTTTCTCGTCGGCTCCAAACAATCCGGGGTAAGCTCACCCGACTGCTCTCCATCCTCATCTGTAGCCGCCACCCTGATCACAAGCTATCCCGTGAACGTCGCGGTCGTCCGTTTGAAAGGGAATGTTACGCGCATGTCTTCTCCGCTCTCTCTGTTGTGACAACACCTGATCAATCTTGCGAACCCAGAATTATAACTTCTTGGAATTTCAACAGGCTCCGGTGTCCCGGTCTTGTCGATGGGATTCGTCACTCAGGAACTGTGTTCCGACCATCAACTCGACACTCGTAACGCTCACGGACATTTCGGTGAGTCATAGACGCCGCATGAACGCAGTGATCTCTACCAGAATGAAGGTACGCCAAGGTCGACGGGCTCTCATTCGCTGAGCTTAGCTGCTGCGCGGATAGAGCTCGCGCCGGTCCGACGAAACGTCTCGTGGACTTGGTCTTCCATGCGAATGACTTATGATTCGTCTTTACTGTCCGTGTTCCCCGCACATGGATTGCGACTCGACACACCAGTACGTTGGCTAAAAGGTCTCAAAGCTCGAGGTTTGAGTGAATCTTCAGGTTTGCTGCTCAATCGCGCCCACGTAGGCCATCGTTGCGCCAATCCTTTGGCTTCCAACTCGAGCTCGCGATCAAGTCATCGTCATCTCGGGGCTAAAGCCGTTAACCTCCGACGCATCGCAACTTCATACAGTAAGTAACCCTTTTAACTCGTGCGCAACATCCCACGCACCTTCTCGTCCAGTTCATGGGATCAGGTTACTCACTATCCTTGCCAATCGCAATGGCGCAACGTGAGCTCTCATCACAGACCGAATTTATGGAACGGGACTCAGCTCCGGTTCGTACGTCTACATACTGTGCACACGTGTGAGAACTTCCCCGATTTCTCGGGCTATATGCTCGATAATAGGCTTCAATGCTAAACCTTTCAATGCTCCAATCACACGTCCAACCTTCGCATGATTCGGACTCGTGTTTTGACAATGAAAACTTTGGTCTTTAAGGTTCTCACCTATGCTGTACAAATGACTACCTCTGGTCCTTGGCACTGGTGCTGAAGACCTTGCTTGTGCGTGTTCTAAGAGCTCTCCCTTCTCGCGCCATGAAAGCATAATCGTTACGTCTCAGGCGGTACTAAAGCGGATGTTGAACCAGCTACAGGCTGCCGGATACCTATGTCTCGTCTAGTCACATCAATCTCTGTCATTGGCCTATATCCGACGAGGCACCGATCGCGAGGACATCGCTCTTTGCATGCACCTCGTGGGTTAAAAGCTTTCTTTCATAACTTTGAGCCTGACTTCACTGTCAGAGGAAAGGCCAGCTGCGCTGGGAATGACCTGATACTGGATATACAATCAAGACGCGCCCATCTCGCATCGCAACCCACGGCATATGCCTCAAAGGATATCGTGGACGCCACCGAGCTAAGCTACGCGCACCCCTCCCACAGGCGAACGCATGGACCAGTTCAATAAGATGTCTCCATCTGAGCCTCGCGAGTGTAGGTGCGGCGCCAGCGCATCGATCCCGGGTGGATCTTACGGCATCACTACAAGGCTCCGGGTTCCCCGGACTTCCAATTGACTTCTCATTATTGGGTGCGATAGACGCTGGCCAACAAGTGGGTGACATCGTCGTCCTAGCACGTCTCAGTTTTCTTTAACCTCGGCAGGTTATAGATACCGCTTTTGACATGCAAATACCCAAAGCAACAGTGCCACTGTAATGCACGTCATGGCTGGCCGTTGCCGGCGACTTGATCGCCTTTGGCTTTTTCCGCCAACCGAAAACAGGCTCTCCATTTAACTTTGCGTCGGCCTCGTGTTACGTCGGGCGGTGGGCGCAGGACTCGAGGCTATATAGTACAAACGACGCTAAACAACAGCCTACCGCCACCTCAAAAACTCTATGTTTGGAAGCGCATGCTTGTCGGCTCTTGTCTATTGAGATGAGGCGACGATCGCGTCGCGAGCTAGGTTTGAGCTACTTTGCAGAGCCTTCGTTCATTCCTCGGCGACATGAGCGTTTGGGCATATCTTCCCACTTCAACATACAGTAAAACACAACCCGAGCCGCAATGTCCCGGATTCTTATACTTCGCATGAGAGCGATCCTTGATATGAGGCACTTTCAGGACCCGTTATTTTTCCCAGCGTGGTCGTACTACGAGAAGTGACGTCGTGTTTTCCGATGGCTGCGGAAAGCTTATACGTCATGCTAAGGCGTCTGAGCCTTATCGCCAGTTCCTGTGTGGTACGTTTCCCTCATCGATGAAGCAATTTCAAGCTTATGGTCATTTCCTTGCCTCGGTCAATTTGTTGGGTCATATAACATAGTCGTACGTCTTTTATCTTCGGTCTCTGCTATGCGAACGTTTCACTGAGGGAAAGTCTTGCTAATCTGGATGCCAGTTATCAGATAATGCATGGGGTACAAAACTGAAAGCACGCAATCCCGCTAACCTCGTTTATTTTCGCATAGCCTTACCCAGGGAAGTCATTCTCGCCGGATCGGCGTCCAAGTATCTAGCTTTGGGAACCTTCGTCGAGTTGGCCCCGCTGTCGTCCACCTAATGGGGATTATGTCTCCAGGCACTCTACATCTGGACCGGAAGCAAAACGTCAAGGTGGGCCATGATCGACCATCTATCCGCTTCCGGACATGCCATCGACACCTATGGCGTCTGTTTCTTTTGGAACCAAGAATAGACACTCGTGCGCGATCCCGAGACCCAAGGGAAACCTGGTGAGGAAGCTGTGTTTGCCGCCTGAATTCGTCTTTATAACTTCCGTAGCCACGATTCTTTATCCCGTAGGATCGTGCATAGCATGGGCAGTCGTGATCCTATCCACATAAGCAGGACATACGAAAAGTCATGTCTTGAACTGCCTCATTATCTCTTTGTTTCGGAAAGCTCACCTGACTTTGGCGTCGAACGGTGGATCCCTGTCTTCAGATCAAAGTGATGACTTACACCCAGTTGGCTTAGAAGGGAGGCCAGAACCTTGACTGTCTGGAAGCTACGCGCAACACTCGAGCAGTAGCTGGGTTTTTAAATTCTCGCTGCGCTGACTTGGTTTCTACACCTGACCTGCTTCTGCAAGTTTCTGCACAGATCGCGATGCCTCGCAAACCTCGTTTTCGATTGGGTGCGTGGTTTTGTCGATCTGATCCATTATGCAAGATCAACGCATTCATTCGAGTTTTCGCCTTCCTTTGCATCTGAAGGAAAGACTCCTCACTCTGGTACTCCGATATCTTCCCTGTAAGCTAGGTCTACTCATCGAAACCTTCATAGCTAGTCTCCAACTTGGACAAAATACAATGCGTGTTAGTTACCTCAGACTACCTCAAAGTCGCCATCTTGTGGGTGTCGATCCGTAGCTCCATGAATGGTCGTTGCAGGTATGCCATGTGAGATATGGGCGTATTTTTTATTCAACTGGAAATCTCACTGACTCTTCTAGGAATCCCGGAAGAGCTGGACTGCCACGCTGGAAATTGTGGAAGCCCGGTACCTTGATCGATGCTCCACCCTGGTGCTAGCATTGTATGGCAAGTACGCGGCTAGATTCTCGGAGATGATTATTGAATGAATAGTTATCATCGAAAAGGGTAAGTACACCTTCAATCTACTCAGCTGAACGTTAACTTTGAGTGGGTAGGCCTAACTTCGGCCAACAAAGTCGACATGCTTGATAAGTTGCCTACTATTGGCTCACCTCCGCAAAGCCAGGAAAATATCTTTCATTGCTTAGCACCGTTGTATACCCTCTCGTCACGAGTCTTCAATGGCTGCAGCGCAAGAGATCCGAATCTATCCGAGATACTATCTTACCCCATACCTCTCCGCAATTCTATCAGTCCGACGCTATGTATGTCATATGTGATCCCACTGTTCGGCGACGTGGTTCAGCGTCTTCTCACGACGACGCACATGCCAGTCTGGATCATAAGAGCACCTTGCGTTTGCTCACTTGTCACGATCTCATAGTCCTGTCGTGATATAACTGCCGCATGGGCTCATTCCCAGCAATTGCCAGCAATGAAGCTTCTTACCAAGGCACTACTTGCTGGCTACCTAGCAGTCGTCGCAGGTATTCAACTGTCTGAACGCTCCAGTGCCAGTGTGGACTTGTTCTAAACAGCCACAAATTGCTAAAACTTCCAACTACCGAAAGCTATGACGTGTTCGTGATCGTCAATTCAACGTGACGAATTCAGAGCCCAGAGATCGATGACTTCATTGAACGGTACGTTGGCTTGATTCTGTGTGTGGGCTACGCTTACTACTCTCGAATCGCCTTGAGGACGACTTCTGCGAGGTCTCCCCGGGTTGGCAATACGAGTTAAGTTGGATGCCTGGGTTCTGTGCTCTGGGATTCACCGTTTGGATTTTTTCTCCTGCTTCTCTATTTTAAGGTCTAGTACGGTTCATTGAGCGGAGAAGGTGATGTAGGCTTCGAAAACGCGCCCGTGACGACTTACTTTGCGGAATGACAACACAACGTTGTTCAGGGCTTGTACCTGAAGCCTTGATGCCGGGGCCCGTCTTGCGGGCCATCCTACTCTTCTATCTAACCTCACATGTTTCATTCGAAGCCTTCCAATGGTCAACAGTTCACCCTCGTTGAAACCCTCAGAAATCAAGTGTGTATATCTATATGTTAGTCCAGTCCTGTATGTGCTCCTTTTCTCTTCATTTGTGCTATTCGCTGCGCTTTGGTAAGCTGATGTCACTGATACTCCGCGCAGACCGTGTATTTCATGATCCGACATTCACCAAGCAAGTAACGCTACCCTTATCTTCACTCAGAAAAGGTCCATTTGCTTGATCATCGCACGGAAGCAGACTCGGGGGCGCTTTAACGGCGATAAACCCCGTCAGCTATCCTCTGCTGTCCTGCCCTATCCTACCTTATCGTTCCGCATTCGCCTGCCGTGTTCAACGTCATCCGGCGAAACTAATAGAAAAGTCCGACGAGGCCTTCTTTGCGCTATTCATGGACAAGACGACATCATAATACGTACTATGCATCATCATATTCCCAACGTAAGTCTTCGCGAAGTATATGTTGGTCGCCATCAAACTCAGTAAGTATAGTAGGCTATACAAACGTTTGCTCATATGAGAACATAGAAGATCATCTAGAAGGTTGAAGGCGCAGTCTTTGTTCTTGATTCGAACTTTCCCTTGACACAACTTAGTCCAACTTTCTCATGCTTGCCTCGTTGTAGGTGATGTAGAGTGAATGATCAGATATTTGTTCCGGTCGGCGCGTGTTACAAATAAACAAGCTGACGTGGCCTGACATTGATAGCGTCATTTGACATTCTAGCGCGGCGAGATGTAATGGTCCCAGTCCACGAAGTACTCTGAAGTACTCGGGCTGATCAGGAACTCCGTGGGCTTCTACGAGGGGAGATAAGGTGTCTCACCTCTCACCTGGCCGGCTTCCGAGTACGCAGACGTCCTAGTCATAAGGCTGATGGGCGTGTAGGGGCGTGTCCGAAGACTTTGCGCGAGTTTGGGGTGCGTTCATCTGTCCAATACATCGGAACCATTGCTTAAAGTGTCAGTCGTAATGCTGGTGTAAGGCCTTATACGATATACATCCTCAAGGATACAGGATTCCTTATAGCGGGTACAGCATCGAAGTCAGCTTTCTCGCATGGTGCTACTTAAGTGTGCCTATGCTTAGAAGTGGTATAACGCCTCTAGTACATGGGATTAAGGGCGTGGGCTTTAACACGTGTGGCAAGCCGAAGTCTCGTCTCATGTTCGGCCGCGGTGACAAGCAGCCATCTGTGCATCTATGGACATGGCATCGGTGACAAATATCAGGCACGCTTAAATTGATCACGCCAGGAACGGTGACGGTGGATCGTCTCGTCCCTCATTTCTTTGTGGATGCAGATGGACATCAGGTCTAGCTGAGGTCAAAGCGCTGATCTCGAGGTCATCGACTCCCACTCAACTGAACGATGTTAACCCGCTCCCGATCGGCGATGATCTTTGGCTATATGTTCTTGTCGAGTGGCGGAGTTCACTCTTTGAGAAACGTGGCGAAGTTTGGCTAGTTCCCATGAGGCACACAGGGAACTGTTTGCGGGTGATGGTAAGATACTTATGTTTAACGTTCGACCTCCGCCATGCCGCACAGTTTCTGGCCCGAGTTAAAGCGGGTCCTATATTCGGAACACCCCCCGTGTTCACAAGCCGACTGCGCGTGGGCGCCCGCCGACGCGCCCGTCCGTATTAGCCAATGACACGATCAATAAGTGGGTGTGAGGACAAGTTCTCTGATCAACGTTCGTGCCCACCATATGCATTGCGCAGCAACCTCAGTCAATAACAAACTTCATCAAGGAATTACGAAATTGTAGTTCAAAACCGAATACGACCCCCTAGAAGTTCGCGCATTGGCTGCGAAACATCGGGGCTGTACTTTTCTCATGATGCATTGAAGTAAACTCAGAGCTTGTACGCACTAGCGCGTATTCCCTTGTTAGTCTTTTGAACATAACGAATTCATCGGCGCCCCGGACTACACGGAAGTGACGTTAGGGAGAATGGATTATCATTCAACGGGATTGCCTTGGTTCCGGGTATCCGAGTACTGACGAGGGCGTCGGGGTCAAGGCCCAGGTACCGAACATTCGTTTTTTTCATGGCAGATCTCCATAAGCGTGGTAATACAACGCTATGCATAAGGACATTATTAAAGGCACAAAACGCCTTTCTTCGTTTACTCTCGCGTATTCCCGTCGAAATCCGAGCCAGGAACTCGCCAAATAGCAAATGATGTTGACTGGGGTATGTTGACAAAACGTGACAAGCTGGCTCAGCTCCGTTCAATAAAGGACTACCTGAATAAGTAACTTTGAAGAAAAGCAATGGGATATCGGCTTCAGGAGAACGTAGCCGAAGTCAAAACCCTATCTCGTTTGGTGCACATCTAGGTTCAAGCCTCAGGTACTGCACATACATTTCAGCCACAACGAACAATTTCTCATGTTTGCATGACATACCAACAATGCCCCCAGATCAGACCTTATCCCGCGTGATGGTATTTGGCCGCGTAGCTGTTATCAATTGGCATTGTAGCCTCGAGCTCGTGGGATACTGTATACGTACATCGAAGCATGCATGCATATGCAAGCATTTGATTCAACCCAACGACATTTACCGCCAGAATGGAATAGCGCCTTCGTCAAAGGTGCAATATGAGAAATTGACTGAGGCTCACCGGATCATGGAGCCGAACACAGCTTTCTTCCAAAGCCTACACAGGAAGACAGAAAACCGAAACTAGAAGCAATATCGCAGATCAGCAGAGCGACCAGTCGGGCAAGGTTTTGGGTTCACGCTTCGTTTCCGCAGGTCTCACCGAGATCTTGGGGTTTATCGGAGGTACCTTAGAGCATCTATCCCGGATAAGGGCTCACAATCCGACACCGTGTACATAGCTGGGGCGCAAGCTCGACGTCGTTCGGCATGATCGGCGGCATCCCAGGAAGCACACTGTCACCCTCCAATCGGAGATGGAGGTTGGTCGTGCCTGTCGCGCGGGGACGAAACTTTCAAAACCTCACTGGGGATCATGTGAAAGAAGGCAGAAGTCGTGTTCTGGTTCATTGTAAACGTTTTCCGGTCGAAGGTCCAGTGCCACAATCCTAAGCACTGGGAACTGAAGACCATATCAACTTGCAGAACTGAGCGCTGCCGCAGTGACTCCACATTTGTAGTTGTCTACCAGCAAGAAGAAGACCAAGAGGAGGAAGGAGAAGGTGAGTGGCGATTTGGCGTGTGAGCAAAGTGCCGCGTTCAAACCGTCCGTCCCACTGGCACAGTCACCGAACAGATGTCTTTGGACACAAAATGACAGAGACGATCGTCGTTCATCCAAGTCCTGAGTACACACGGGAGAACCGCAAGTAGGGACACGGCAGGACACAGGCCGTCAATGCCCGCATGCTCGCGCTCGGCACGTTCACCCCGGTGAAGGACGAAAATGTGAATGGAGTTGACAAACACACTCATCTACTCACATGCGTATGCAGCGGAGTACCCGTTGGGTTGCACGCAATGTCTCCTTCTTCGGCGCCAGAAAGCGACTGGTCACGTTCTTAGAATAAGATCAGATAAAAGGCAAACACAACTCCCGTTTAAAGTTAAAACAACCGAAAATACTGACTCTGCTAAACAATCCACCCTATCATTGTCCAGTTATTCCAAATGAGTTCGGTGGAGTGTTCTACGCCACGCCCAGCTGGGACCATCCCAGCAAGATCCGCGGGGAACTTACTCTTGAGAAGCGATACCAGCGGTAACGACGTGGCCGAACCTGCAACAAACGGGTCAGCGGGTCGCGACAAAGCCAAGAAAGATGAGGCCTTGTGGAACTAATGATGAAAGATGGATTATCGTCAACAAAGTGGAGTGGGTAGGATCGGCGGCGATCAAAAGTCAAAGCAGAACGAAGGAGTTATGACCTCTGTGTGACCTCGGAACGAGCAAACAAATGATTCATATGAAGTCAGTGGGATTTAAGCGTGCGTCGAAGCATTGTGGGGTAACGGAACAGTGACCCGTGCACCCGCCGGTCGGCGCTTGCGAGGTTCCAAATCCGGTCGCACAGACTAGAATAGATGTTCCCGCCTTCAAATTTTAGAGCACAGACAAAGACGAACTCAAACGTAGAATGGAACTCGATGTCTTCAAATGTGATGGAAATAGTCCTGGTTGCGAGGGAAACAAACAAAACAAAAGCGAGAGTACATACACGAACGACGGAACACCAAACGGAACGGATCGCGCCTCGTGCGCCGGGTTTATCTCCCATCTCCGGGCTATGGCGCCATGCGGGCTACGCATATACTCTGGCAATAAACGTAAATGCGGCACCACCAGGCCAAGGGAGACGCAGTGACGAAACGCACCATGAAGAGAGTCGCGCTCCGGATACGGTCGCAGCGGGCCGACGAAACACTGCTTCAGAGCATGGTATCCGTCAGCGCGAAATGCGGAGGCGATATCTTCATTTGTCCCGATGTCCGTCTTCTTTCATCGTTAGTTGAGGATATACGTGTGGAGGAGTGGGGCCAACGCGGTGAAAGCGTTGGCTATCATGTGAACAGATAGAAAGGAGCATGTCTGAATATAGGAAAAAGTCATAGATCAGTATCAAGAAGCTGATAGAGGAAAAGGTCATACAGCGGAGATTCTCCAGAAAGACTGTTGACGATGTTCGTACCACCAGAGGACAGCGCTAAAGCGACTGAATGGTCGCGGTTGATGTACCTCCGTCATACAACTCCGGAATGTCGGCAGGCGTGGAACTTAGGCAGATGAGAACAGCACCAGTCATAGCGGGATCAAGCAAATGTGATCTTGAGGCCTGAGGCTGACCTGAAGTGGAGTATTCAGAAACGATAGCTTAGCGATTGCTTGAAAGGTCGCAAAGAGGGAAAATCCTGCACAGCGGAATGAAATCATATGTCGGCAAGAGTCACGTTCCCAGAGCTCTGTTAGTACTCGCTAGAAACGGAGGACAGAAGCAAACAGAAGACACTGAAGCATCGCGCACATTCGATTTTCCATATCTATTGAGCGTCTCCTCGCTGACTTCTACGTCAAATCTTCGCTGCCCCGAACAAAGTGAAGATGGTGTAAGTCTAGGGAGACCTCTAGCTGAGCAACGCTGCTTGGTGTCAGCGAGAAATGAGTTTGAGCAAGAGATATGGTCCACTGACAAGGTGGCACCTTGCTGCCTAAAGGTTGAGGGTGTCGTCATCGTCCACACTGTGAACCGAGTCTGCGACGCGTGCGGTGGTAAAGTGGGGACGACCGGGAATGGGAAAGGTTGAACAAGCTGGCAGTCGTGCGTCACAGTGTTGTCGCCCAGTTGTCGCGCGGTCAAGCGCCGGCGCCAGCGCGGCTCTATTCGGTCATCACTAAATGAGGGGATGAATGATAAGTAAATGACCTTGACCAACATCACAGATCATGACAAACATACACCGGGGAAATGGTGAGACTCCGACACGAGTAGCATGTAAAGTCCGTTTTTAGCATGCAGGAAAGATCACAGGGATATGATCATAGCAAAGAATCTATTATCTACTCGAAGGGGCGTGTTATCATTAGCAAATACGGCATGATAATAACATATGGTACTCACAGCTATGATAACTCACAACAGGTGCATTATAACGACTTGCAATCACGACGAGGTTTTCAATACCAAGAAATTCATTGCAATTAATACAGTACACTCTGCAGCAGACAATACAGTATACAAGAGAATCTATTGAGGCTAGCATCTGCAAAGGATGAGTACAGTATGAGCAATATACGAGAGCAGCTCCTATTAGGCCCAGGCATGCGTCGCCCGCGAAGCAGCTTGCAGAAGCGCCAGGCAGGGAGAATGCGCAACAGCGTGTATAGGCTCCTGAAGAGCGGAATGCCGTGCTTGTACGTCGTCGACGGAGCCACCGCACCTCCCTCCGTACCACCAGCCGCCGACCCGCCTCCCTCGGTCTCGTATACGCTCGAGGTCGTGCTCGTGTCTCCTGTTCTCGCCGAGCTGGATGATGCCGTGGAGCTGGCTGCGGATATAGATGGTGAGGAAGATGCAGAGTCAGGGGAGAAGGCGAGGGTCCAGCTCTCGAGGAGGACGAAGCGCCTAGTGGGCTCGACGCGCACGCGGGACGAGTCCAGGGCGTGGTAGACGAGCGCGTGGCTGGTTGCATGGCCTGTGTGCTCGGGTACGGCGAGGAGGACGTCGAGGGCGAGGGTGGATCGGGCTGGTGACAACAAAGAGGGTCAGGATGATAAAGGGGCAGAGGAGATAGACGAGCGGAGGAACAAGAGGTTGAGAAAACAAATGAATTAAAGCGAGACACAAGTAATCGTACAGAGTACGGACAGAGGCTGATGTACTATGTAGTTATACGGAATCTTGCGACATAATCACGTGACGGCTCCTCACGCGTGTCACTTACAGTAGCAGGGTGTAGTCCACAGGCTGCCAGGGAGAGAAAGGGTGGCGAGGGAGGTTTGGGTGGAAAGTGATGTATGGATACTGCAGAACAGGTAAATGAGGGAGATTTCTTGGATGAGGACGAAGCAATCACTGACAAGGCTGAGCTTGAAATTTTGATGCATTGTAGTCTTCCGATAGTAGCTAACCGGTTTATGAACAGTTTCTTATAATCGAATGTTCATATTACATTTGACATGACATTCGATTTATTATGCTTCAACATATCGCGATAAATTTTATCTTGAATTTTGGTCCATGGTAAGCTCACTGCCATATGGTACTTAATGATAAGATCCCTACGATACGATAATCCCGTTATCAGATAGTGGGCTAACACTTAAACGATGTTGAATCGTCGCCAATTACGATCATACACAATTATATTAACGGTCATCTTATAATACTCATAGTCTCCATTATGCCCCGAAAAATTTCCCCCGATTTAGTGATGGTGACGAAACCACTTTGCTCTCCAACACCTCTCGTCGTGCCAAAGGTATAGATACACTACGAACATTCTACATAATCAAACCTACACATGTCTCCGGCGTGCTCTCGCTCAAACGTATCCGTCAAAACTTTCTCTTGCGCACCCAACGCCTTGGGTTCTCAAGGTCAACAAATTTTGCTCTTCAGAAGCCAGCGCAGCCTCGCGTCCCGTGTTCCGTCGCACCCTACGTCATATCAGCGACGGAAGCGCCATGAACCCATCCATCTTTGTAACAATATGCCATGCTCGTACCCATTTAAAGGACAAAAACACCGCTTCATGTGTGTCATATGGGCTTCTACAGCCTCATCAACCTAGTGATTGTCTTCCGATGAGACCCAACCCAAATGACAACCCCACGAAACCCCGAGGACAATGTTCTTGAGCGTTTATGAGGTGAACCCAGCGTCATCGGTTTCTGTAATCGTCCGTTCCATCTAGGACGGGGTTCCTGACGACCATGTTCTCCCGCTCAAGATTCTCCGATCATGCTCGGCGGTTTGTTATCTCCCATCCTTCGGTTGGTTTGTGTGTATGAAACTTACCGTCTATGACGCAATGATGTCACGACACAGCCCTTCTCGTCGTCAAGAGTAAGTACGTCGCCTTTCTCAGCCAATGACCGTATGTCGGTCCGAAATTTGGTATTGTTCGACGCTGTAAGCCTACTCCCACGCTTGCAGGTTCGGTACTCGAGATAAAGCAACAGACGTCGGCCGTTATCAATGCACCGAAACTTTAGCATTATGAGCGTTTCCGATCATACACGGCGGTAAGGTTTCTCTCACAGGTCCACCTTTCCTTTTGTTTCTTTGGCGCGTTGACGCATGATGTCACCGAAGCATTGGATGACCCTGAGAGTTTCGGCGAGAGGATGCAGTCAGGTCCGATTCTCCGAACGGACATTGCAGCGAGCGTTCAAATGATTGACGCCGCATTCAACTCAGAAGGTAATCTCGACAGCTATCACAGCAAACCCAGTGCCTCTCAACGCTGCGACAGGCTGCGACGCGACATTCGCGTTCCCATGTCCTTGTCCACTTCCATTCTCCACCATCAATCCATCTCACGTTCGCCGTGTGTTGTATAAACACACGTTCGGCATGGTGTAATCTCACCGTAAACGCGTTTCGTTTTTCATCCGGATCTTGTCATGCATTCAACCTTTCATTTCAGATATGTTTAGAGTCCGATATCTATGCCCATTGTCCATCTTCATATGCGAACCACGAAGAATCAGACTTTGATGGGAACCGCAAGCCACGCTTTGCAACGCCCGTGGCCCTGCAGCTTTCAATGGAGTTGGTAACAACGCCATTGCTAATCTCGCGTGCTTCACGTTCCGTCCGTCCCTCATCAAAGTGTTGTCGGACCGATGTACCTTTGCCCTTGCCCACGACTAAGTGTTGCTGGCAGTGACCAGTGACTTCTCACCTTTCCTTCTCCATCATCACGATTGATAATGCAATTGTCCAAATATTGTCTACACTGGCATTGCACTAGCACCGATGCACGTTGACAGCTCGTGAACCCTGATTTCTCCAAGGCGCAAATCTGACTCGTGAGTGAAGCACGGTCGATATCAACACCATGAGGCGAAGCGCCTGCACCAACCGAGATCGACTTAGCAGGCACAACGCACTCCTCCGAAGTTCTTTGTTCGACGCATTGCCTGCGCCCCGAGGCGAAAGTTGCCTTACGGGCGTAACAGGCCTTCCTTCGCCCGCGGAAGATCGGGCCGAATTCAAACCTCATTCCTCGCAAACGCTCAGGGCCGTGTTATCGGTCGCGCTTTGGTTCCTTCGCGACGTGACTGCTCCATTCCTAGGCCGACCTTATTCCTAGGGTCCCTTTTAGGATTCGACATTGTCCTTCGCAACACGAAAAAACTGGCATCTTGGTTCTATCTTTCCGAGGCGCTCAGTCGCCGCTTCGGACGTTGGTAACACACCCCGCATGCCAAAGGCTAAGTGAGAGTGTTCAAGGTTAGCTGGCACGCCAATGATTTCTCAACAGGTTGTTAGATATCGTTGACCTTCGTTTCATACATTCCTCTTGGCCTTCCAGCTTCGTTTTCTGATCTCTTTCACTTCGGAGCTCCGGCTTCAGCCGTCAGTGAGTTGCAATTAACGCGCTCTGACGCGTAGTTGACACATTGACGACGTAGAGTAACATGACAACGCTTTACATTGCCTGCTTCTGGCGCAAGCACGTTCGAGCGAGACGGCGCGGCGGCTTGCCGTTTACAGTAAAGGCAAGATCGCGCAAAGGGATCCCCGACTCGCCGACGCGCGGGGAATCTGAGGATTTCACGTCACTCTAGCAGGGCCCGAGGTCATCAACGGAATCGCAAAATGACGCGTTGAGCGCTCACTTGGAATCTTGTAGAGGGAGGTATTGACATCCAGCAGAAAATTTATGATGTCTCTCATTTTTCCATGTCAGAAGCTAAAGTTGAAGTGGAGCTCTCGAGAAGGAGCCGCTGTGCCGAGTTCCCTGATGCCAAAATCATCATTGGTATGGGGCTGCTAGACGTAAGTAGGACAAGCATCGTGCCATACGCAAGTACAACGGAAGCTGCTTTCATCTCCGCTTTACCAGGCTCAGCTCGAAAGTTGTGAGCCGTCCGTAGGTGCTTGCTGTACTGATGAGTGTATAGGTGCATATGTACATAGTACACTACTCTCACTCTCGTCATCAATAGAATCAATCGATAAGAACTTGCGGAGGTTAGCCATCCCCTCGCCATCACCATCGCTTAGCATAATCAAGACAGGATCAAAAATTTGTGCTGAAGGTTGGACATGCGCTGCGACTTCAGTTGGGCTTGCCGTGTTCTGCCGCATCCCCGCATGCGAAAGGGACTGACCGATCGGAGTGCGATCCCAGCTCTGGCAATCCGTGACCCGAGAGTCGTCTCAGTCCGCGATCCGCCACTTTTAGTGTCGGTTCGGCCACGCGCAAGATGTCTAATTCCCCGCATGCGTCATTCCACCCCTGTCATCCGGGTCGAACAGCGTCCGCGGTGCCTTGTACAACATGGCCCTTGCGGTGCGCGAGGACAACATGCACTCGGCTCCAAACATGAGGCGGCAAGTGTTGATCCGCAATATTTTGAGATTTGGCGCGCTGCAAGCGCGGTTATCTTATCAACCTGATCAGAAACTTCACTCGAGTACGCATCTAACCATGCATGTGTCGCTCGTAGAACCGAGCCGCCTTTGATTTTACCCGTTAGTTGAAGTGTATCGCAACCCTTGGTTGACATTAGTCGAGCTCACATCAGAACGATGCTCATTAATATTGATCCCTCGTTGGAATGCAGGACGGTCGATAGCTACACCCGTAGTAAGCGCCCTGACTGCGAAGAAGTTTGACATTTTCACCATTAATTTTGGTGACCTTATGAACGGCTCGCTCAGTGGGTCATGCATCATGTGCGACAATCTCGGAGTTGTGGGCCCTCGAAACGAGGTTGCAGAACTCGGGAAATATTCCTCCGTAGTCAACGATTCGGATGTGTTCATAATCATAAAGCCGACCATTAGACCGCCCACAATGACATCCGACCTACGTCAGTATAACCACAGAGAGGTCTGGAATTCGAGCCAGGATCCTTTCAGAGGTCTCTAAATATGAGGATCTGAGTGCTTCGAGACTTCGAGACTAGGTTGCGCCGGGCTAGTGAGTTACAGTAAAGGCATGTATCCTCAACTGACGTTCCGTGGAGGAGGTTACGCCCACGTCGTCATACCGATCAGGGCGCTAGCGGCTCCGCTCTTCTAGGAAGCGCTCAGTTACCCCTTTACCATGGTATCCTACTAGAAACGAGACGCTTTTGTTATGGCATTCTAACTCACTGACATGGTAACTGAGTAGTTGTTAACGTAGCAAGTCGCCGCAACTTCCAAGATTGATCAACACTTTGCGGCCAGTCTAATCCTCAACGCAGCGTCAACCCCGCGATCAGCTTATGGGTTACGAAACCTCGCTGCGATGCCGCAGGGCATCCGGCGACTACCACGGAAAAAGCCATCCCCGAACTTTGTCACACAGTGGGATCAAGAAATCGAGAATATTGACGCGGTGCGATGTGGCACGCAGCGACTCTGCCGGCGTTTTCAACAACAAGAATAGAGATAGGCACAGGAATCACTCGGCAGAAGACCACCTCGAGGCCCGAGACGTAGTACGTGTAGAAATTCGAAAGTCCAGGCTCATGCGTACCTGGACTGAAGCCCTTCTTGGGCCTCGTCCCCCGAGTCGAGTGTCATGCGAAGCCGTTCGAGCAGCTGGAACTTTGTGTAGTTTCCAGGTTTCTGGGCTCCGAGGACATCGATCGCGCACGTCAGAGCCCGCTATTCGGCCAGATGCCGGTCCGGTCTCGATATCGACGAGTGAATTGATGCACATATACCAAGGGCGTTCTCTCGTTGAAAGTTTGAGCTCATGTACGTACCAACGTGTCATCAGGGGCAGACCAGCGGGCCGTCGGCGTACTCAATGTTAAAGCTGAGTTGGCGTCCACGGTGATTTCACGAGAGATAAGATGTGAACAACGACATAGGCAGTGTTCGTCTTGGGATCAGCGTGCAGAATCTTACAGAGCTCCGCGTTCGTGGGGCTGTACGCAGGATCGATCCGTATCCGAGCTTACTTTCTCGAGGATGTCTATTGGCATCCAGGGAAATCAGCGGCTCCAAAGTACACGTTGTCCTAGCGTCATAAAATTGGACGCTTTTGTTTCCCGCGCGCCACGCGATCGCTATCAAGGCATATATGACGACGATGGCGAATTCGCAGCACAATGCGGTATCTCGTGGCAATGGCTAGTTTTCACAAAACAAGATAAGATTATGGAGCAGAAGTCGAAGAACTGAAGAAACAAGCAACGCGCAACCGTCGAAGTATCCGATAAATACGCACACAAAAACGGGTACTGACGATCATCGGCTTATCGAAGTGAAGAAGACAGCACCCCACACTGACACGCAGTGGGGCCGCCACACTTCCGAATATTCAGGAATTGATTCAAGACAAACGCTTTCCTACAACAATCGTCCAATGATCGTGTGATATGACAAGCAGTACGTTGGGTTCTCCGCCGGGTTGATATCGCAAGGTCTCAATCATCATTTACCCGCAGAGATAGAATTTGTGACAGACGGTCCACAGTGCCCTTGGGGTGTCCGGTGACTCTTAAAACGAGCGAGATGCAGGCTAATCGGACGCCTCCGCGCCGAGGTTAGTTTCCGAAAGCCACTGGGAAGTTCGGGATACTGGAGCTCCAGTGTCGAAGGCGTCCGACTTACCATCCTCGTGTCCAGGTGGAACCGTCAATCAGTGGCTGGCACTACCGTTCCAACGATGAATTGCAAACGGCGAAAGCCTGAATACTTTGCCCTACAGCAACTTCCCACAGCTTGTGGTGTGAATAAGGATGTATGTAGAGCACCAGTTAGCTAACCTTACACATGCATAACCCAAATGCGCAAAGAGGTCCTAACCTGCGGCTGCGGCTTGTGGAATGAATAGTATACAGTGTATACAATATGTTACGGAGCCCTTTACCCATGATGTGAGCGCAAAGAAGCACCACATAGAAAGAGCGCTAACGAACGTACCCCGGAATCAGCCGTTCCCCAATCGTACAACCCGCTAGACATTGAGTTTCGGAAGGACGACTTATGGATAGATATGGTGATCCCCTGTATCCCATCAGCGTCACCCGTCAGAACCAAAAGATCAACTCAAAATCAGACTCCAACACGGTTCCTGTAGGAGGACGTGCCGCGGACGTGCGGCTTGGGTGCTTTTTACCTCGCCTACTGACCACATGTTCCTTCGCCTAGGAGTCCAGCGGGACCCCCATCCCGACAGCACCCCACGAAAAACTTCGAGTATTTGCCAATTCGGGCGCAGATCATGGATAGCACCTGTCAACCCACTCCGCTCCGTCAGACAGCTCGGGACGACTAAGTCACTTGGTGATTGGTTGATCACGAATCCTGACAGGAGCTCATTTAGCTGCCCATGCTTTCCCGCGTGCGGAAAAGAAGGGCGAATGTGTCTGAAGACGAGCATCAGGGAGCATCATGCAGTTTTCGTTGGGAAAATCAAACGATTATGAAGAAGTCGAAGCTGATTACCGACAGTACGTGGGCATCGATGGGCGGGACGACTCGCGCGCCTCAGCGCCTGTGAGGTGCACGCGAAGCCTCCACGACCTGAATCTCGAGCTCTACGTCGTGATCCGAGGCTCAAAGCCCAGCTACACATTGTCAGGCCCTCCACGTCCACCCGCACACGCACCGTGAGTACGACTCACACTCATGCAGACTCATACCATCATCCTTCGTTTGCGCCGCATGCGGATCCACCCTCCAACGCCGCGTCCTGGGACGTTCTGCACGCTAGTGGTGCGAGAAGTTGTGCAGCACCCGTGCTTCTCCCAGCGCTGGCATCGATGCAGTCGTCATCGGGTGGAGCGTGGAAGTTAAAGATGCATATGCATGCGCACTAAAAATTGACATATGTCCGAGCACGACCAGCCCAGCCGCGTTGGGCCGGGAAGTCTCATCGGAGCGGGATGGATGGATCTGCGGCAGGCTTGCCTTGCGCGTACTGCGACCGAGCTACTCAGCAAGCTCCAGAGTCCAGAGACTCCGACCAGCACTCCGAGACACGTGTATCGATGCGGCTTGACCAAGGTTTGCTTGGGTTCTCAGAGGAGGCGTTCACATCGGCGCGAGCGAAAACGTCTATATTGCGCGAAGACGATGCGGAGGATGGGAAGGGAGATGAAGATTGATAAATGCGTCAGAAGCGAGCGTTGGCGAGCATCAGGTTGAAGTTCGTAACTCCTGGTGGGTGTAGAGAGGTAAAGTCCGCACTTCATCTCGCTGAGCGACGCGCCTCGGGATGCCGGCACCCCCCTGTGAAACGCGCTGCCGCACGTGTAACCGAGCCGCAGTGCTGGGTTTCGTCGCCGTCTCGGACCTGAACGCGATCGTTCGTCGGCCTGCGCGTATATCGGAAGACCGACTACATCCTCTCTGACAATTACATTTGTGGCATCCTGACATATGACACTTGCTGAGCACGTTTTATCTGATAAAACAATTTGGTCCTGACGTTCGGACTGTGTGTTTGAGAGCGGGATCGCAGGCTCAGGGTCCTTTCGCCGCAGGAGATGACACCGATGTACACTAGCCAACCTGAATCTGCCTGAATTTGACCAACCTCAGGACGCTCAACTCGCGATAACGAGCTGAAGCGATCAGGGTGGTCGGCCAAGGAGTTGGGCATTGTGATCGTGAAGACCATTCAACGGACTACGGACACCCGGCGTCATCCTCGCCGTGTTCACCCCCTCAAGCCGAACTGCTCATTATCGCAAAACCGGGTGCTTATCTCGCTGGCAGAGGAACGTGGCCTTGGCTCAACCTTGGCCTGACGTGCCGGCGAAGAATATATGCGCGAACAGGGAATAATGACTTGTTGAGAATCTCGTCAGCTTGACGAATGGGGGATGCAGCTGTGATCGTCGCTTCCTGCGCGAGGCGAGCTTACGGAAATACGGCATGGTGAGCTCATAGCTGCGGTTTACGATAACGCTTTGCTATGCTGAGACATCAGGATCATAGCGATCATCGTGCACCATCCGAGCAAACGTTCTTCGGGATTGGGATATCGTCGAGCGTCTTTCTGTCAGTACTTGTGAAGTGGTGATGCAACTTTCAAAGTAAAGTTTCGGCACACAAGACGGCTTGATACTCCAGGCAGCGCCAAACTCAAGGGCGCAGCTGAGCTGTGCTGAGTTTGTACCTGTGAGCAGAAGCGCTACGCTGTGCACGGGACGATACACGCTGCACATTGCACGGCCCTCGGCCCGAGAGCCCACCCCTCCCAACCAGGCTTTGCGCAGATCTTCTTTTTGTCAAAATACTTGCACTGCAACAGCATCGCGGATCGCATCGCAGGGCCGGTGAGCGGTAGTGCTGTAAAGAGTTTTGTTGCACTTTGCTTGGCTGCTGCTTTGTATTGTGCAAGCGCTGCCCGCGTGCATGGGCCGAAGATTCCGTCCAAGATCAGGCCTGCACTCTCACCCATTCATTCATCTCACAGTTCATAAAGGTCATGTTTGCGTAGGACGAGGCTCATTTGCATTAGTGTTCGATTCCAACTGTCGAAGTAAGCAATCAAAGCGTGATCGAATACAATTGCAGGGAATACAATGTGACGAGATGACAAGATGACAAGATGGAAACGGGGATATAGCGCTAGCAGTAGTACGAATAGGTGTGCGGTCATAGATTACAACAAAAACAGAGCGTCGGAGCTATTAGTAAGACGAAGGGAGGGGTGTGGGTCGTCGTCATGAAGGGTGCATGTGAAGTGCGGGGGAATCGATGGCAATGACAAATGATATGATAGAGAACAAAAACAGAGAAGGCAAAAGGATAGACAGACACAGACGAGTGTCCTTTTCCCCCTCCCCTCCTTATGCGCGCTTCCTTCCAGACTTCCGTTCCGATGTTGATGAAGTGGTGCCGACGTGCCTTGCATGGCAACGATCGGAATCGAGAAATATCGATGAGACATGAGACAGGACCGAAGGTTTCGGCGCGAGACGCCCCGCAACCCCGCATCGTCCAAATTTCCAAAACACCCAAGCCCGCGTTCCGATCCGAAACCAAGAAAAAAGTTTACACTGCGCGGCTCCACAACGGGTGCTAGAGCGAGCGAGCGAGCCCATCCTCCCGGCCGGGCTGAGACACGACGTGCCATTGCTGACCGCTGTGCTGATGTGACGACGCTGAGGGCGCGACCGTCAGCGGATGGTGGGGGTGGAGGTGGGTGGTCGCAGAGGTGCAAGACGTCACCGATGATGCAGGTGGTTGGGAGTGTGGACGTGGACGGTGGTTAGGGGGGATTGATGGGGATGGTAGATGTTGCGATGGGTGCTGCCTAACTGAGAGGGGGCCGAGACTAGTACTAGCGACACGATCTCGAGGAGACGTGCGTGGAGAGTAGTAGTATGTTGATACAATGCAGCAGAACAATGCGTCGATGCAGAATCGAATGGAGACGTGATAACATGATGACAGCGCGAATCTGTGGATGGGCGAGGGGTCAGCATGAGTCACGATGAATCACGACGACCCTCGCAGACGCGTCTCGGATGAGACGCGTCGTGCACGAAGGGTATATGGAAGATGGGTACTCACCATACAGTGATGCGATTAAATAGCAAGAGGAGAGAGGTGCGATTAGCAGCGGAACGGGCAGCTGGGGGAGTGGCTGCCGCGCCAGCCACAGTGGCAGCACTGGGGTGCACTGCAGTTGATGAACCCGTGGTCGGACTCGGAGGTGCGCGAGATGACAGGTGTTGAGTGCGCGCCGAAGGAGGTGGTACGAGAGGTCTCGGAGATCATGGGGAACTCTGGCGAGGAACCGGACGTCGAGCTCGAGGAGGTGGATGGGGTCGAGCAGGCGAAGAGGGTGGCAGAAGAGGCGTACATGGCGATGGTGAGTGCGGGTGGGTGTTGGATTGAGAGGTGTTTGTTGGAAAGTTGTTGGGAGGAGAGCTGGTTGGGACTGAGTTAGCGGAACAAAAAGTGCCCCACCTTTTATGTGCCAGAGTCCGGAGGGTAGGTGTGGTGGCGTCAGAGATGCCGGTGCCCATCCCGTTATCGGTGTCTGTGTGTGGTGAAAGACAAGATGGTGTTGACAGGTGACCCGACACCAAATTGGGAAAGAAGCGATGAACCCAGGTCAGGCAGAACCTGTGGAATCCTGGCAACCTGGGATGAATCCATGAATAACTGTGACCGAGAACACGGGAAACGGGAAGAAGGACAGGATAAGCATCCGGGCAGCGCAGCGTCAGCTGTGTCGACCGTATGTGTGCCCAAGGAGAGAGATCCATCCTCGATTCGCCCTGGCGCTCATCGCATCCATCGATCTCATCTCATCGCCCAGGGGGAGAGAAGCAAACGTCTTCGCTCACACTCCCCTTTAGGCTCAGACGGCCCCGTTCCCTCAACCCGGTCCCTCCTCGCCCAAAAGGCGAGGAGGGTGTGTACGGCAGTCCATCTAACTGTACAAGGGCATGCTCGCCTGTGCTCGACCCGCTCAGATGACCTTGTGCACTTGTAATCAGAATACACCTTTCGTCCATCCCCTCCCCGGATGCAAAATTTGCTTCTCTCTATAACCAGTGAAAAAGTTTGTGCCAATCGAAACTTCATCTGCCCATGAATGGACCTCGCCCATAACGCGTACCGGGCTGGCGCTCTTGTATCTGTAAGAACCCATGGCTGTATCATTCGGCAAACAGACGCATCTGCTGGATGTACGCGATCGAGGAAAGGTATATGCGCAGCATTGTCGCCCAGGAATCACTCCTATCACTCCTCGAGGCGCGTCGCGCTTTGGATCCTGTGTTTTCGATTTGATCACAGAGCAATTTTTGGCGAGGCGAGGAACAAAGAAACAGAAAATTTGGCATTCCGAATCTACATGGTGTGGTAAGGGCATTACGGTTTAGTGTGGTAAGGGTCAGATCATGATGACGACGGTCGGAGACAAAGAAAGCCCTTCTCGCCGAAGCTTCCGTTCGATTGTAACCAGCGTCCGAAGAGCGACGCGCATGTCATCCGATTTGACCCCACGCTACCATCTCGAGCGTCAACAACGCCGCCAGCGCCGACGCCAACACGTTGGTCACCAGCGTGCTAGTCCACGATTAGCAGCCAGCCACAACCAATATCGGTGCTCGACCGGCACTTCCCCTCGCCGTTTGGAAGGTGATTCGCGCGAAGGTGCGTGCTCAACGTCAACTCCACAACATGCCTGCAGCTCGCTCGCCAAGCATCTGCTGAGGGTTCCGAAGTTTTGAGTTCTGACCAACAACATTCAGGATTTAGATGACAGCGTTCACACTGGCGCTCTGTTGGACGCATGCTTCCTTCCCCGCCACTCGCCTTCCCAGCTTCTGTCCATGCTATAGAGCCTCCGACCCCGCATCACCTGTCACCCCTGCTGCGTGCAATAAACGTACGCCACGCTGACGAAACAACAAGTCACCCGAGCCGGTGTAACCTATAGACTACGACCGAGCAGGTACAGACCTATGCAATACAAAACTTGCTCATACATCAACGCTCAGCCCAGGCCAGGGGATGACACCCCAACTATCGCGTTCGCAAACAGAAGAAAGAGAAAACGCCAGCATCAGACGCATATAGCTCGTCAAACTCAGTCCTATCTCGCTCGTCCGGGGTTACGACCCCGTATGTCCATCCTTGCCCACCCCCCAGCTCAGCAAGCCCCAGCGCACTGGGTTCCCCACCACTTCCTTACAGTAGTACTTACTGGAATCGGGATACCCACACCGGCAGCACTTGCGCAAGGCTTGGGGTTTGCTCAGCTGAGCGCGACGCCCGCGACCCGCGCGCATTCGCCGCCGCCGTGTCGTCCCCGGCCTGCCGGAAGAGGCAGGCGCTGTCCTGAGCCCGGGGTCGCCTGGCGTGAAGAGCTGACGCGAGAGGCGGGGCAGGCACAGGAAGCGTGATGCCACCTTTTGAAATCTTGAAACCCCAGCGTAACGTGAGCGCTTGAGCCCTATCCTTGGGTTCGGAAAGTGACTCGTGAGCACTCGGGCGACGATGATATTGAGTTCATGCATGGAGTGAGTCGTCCATTGTCTCCGGGCCCGGCGGCGGTGCTCGACCGGCGTTCTTTGTCCATCTATCGCGTCCATTGTCAAGCTGATCGTTTCATTAGTTTTTGACGCACCGAGGTGACACGTTGCTCCTTGATCTGAGCGTCCCTGGCCGGCTACTTACACTGCAACCTTGGTATTCGCGAGGCGAGACCCGAGGCTGCACAGGGTGTACGAGTCAACACTGGATGTGAGGAGTTTCGAACGTGAGTCCATTAAGCGTGGTCATTGTACTCAGCATTGATAATCGTCGTCGCTTAGGGCTTTTGAATAAGCCCGCCTTCGCCAGGTCTGAGTATGCGTACTCCTATCCATAGTCCGTGCGCATCCTTCCTTTATGTCCTGCTTTTTCCGCCGACTCAGGGTTTACCCCTGGGTATGTCTTCTTTGGGTCCATTTTATGCCGGTCTCTCCACAACCCGCACCACATTCTGGTTCTCAAGTTTACGGCCAACCTTTCGGGCTCGTTCAACTCCGGACTACCACCAGAACCAGCACCGAGATAGGGGTTCACGCGGTTTGCCGACGGCTTCTTGAGGGCGGAGGTTTCGCTGTGGTTCTCATCACGTTGTCCTCGTTGTGGGGCGTGGTGTGGAGGATTAAACATGTTGTCCTCGAGAAGAATGTTGATTATCGGATGTCTCGAGCTTCGGGATATGGTGAACGCAAATTTCGATGCTGGTACGAGCCTACCGCCGAGTTTCATATCAGAAACATGTATTTACCTTGACGCTACACTCTGCTCGGCACCGCGACGTGCTTCGTTATCGCAGTGAACGTTTATTCTACAAGGGTCAGGTCATCGGCTGGGCTGACAGAAGTTTTCTCTACTGTTCTGTGGCTCTTCTCGACTGCGTCCAGGCATCTAGGCACGAAATAACGTTGCTTCTGTCCAAAACTCGCCCCAGCATTAACGGTAAAATACATTCGAGCAACACATCAATCAAACTGGCACTCCCGGAGGTATCCGTAAGATAGCGGACACTAGCCAATGCTGACCACTTATCTCCGTATCTACAGGTTTCAACAACCCTTGCAATAAACGTCCCTCTGATCTTGGTAAGCCTTAAGCTGCACTACGCAACGACGACTAATATAAACATAGCACGATCGCTACTATTTCGATGACGACAGCTCATCGAACCTTGTCTCGGGATGCAGCGCGTTCGACTTCTACTAGGTCACACTAGGAGTGGGTAAACCCGCCATTCCCCCGACGCCCCCCAGTTTTAATTATACCTATCAGCGGGACGACACTACATCAACGGAAAGAAGTGTCATCGGAGCAAGTAGCACGCTGACCCTGGCCCGCCATCTTGTGTTCCTGATCTGGAACCCCATTTACGGTTTCCTTTTTCTTTGTCGACGATACCTGAGGTTGCCTAAAGCTACGCTAGTGGCTTGTCCCAAAGCGCGCGCGCGCACATCTGTCTAGAGCGGCTGCCAGTGACCACCCACCCCGAGATCTTGTGATTGGTGGTCCAATTGCGTCTCATGTCGTGTCATCCCCAGACAGGTCGTTTTTAGCGCTATGTCGTAACAAAGAAGCATCCCGAAGTTCTCCTAACACGTTCTTTGTTTCGTCTTACGGAATGCCGACGCACTGGCCGCCCTGATCAGATCGACATTCTCGGCGCCGACAAACCTCGACTTGACCCCTTACGATCGATCGGTCTTTCGCCGTCGGTCGGTCCCTTTACCGGTGGGTGTGGCGTCCAAACGCTGAGTAACGTGCTCTATAGGTTTTATGGCTGCATGGCAGCCTGCTGTCCCGTTCATGTCGCACCATTGTCTGTGCATTGGCTGGGGTTATTCAGTACGGAAATTCCACGGTAGCCGTTGGCGACCGGTAACTCTTCACCTCTCCGGCATTGCAAGCCATTCTACTAAGTGAAAGAGGGCCCAAGTGGAAGGACCGAGCAATCACGTTCGTGATCAGCGCGCCGACCCGTGCGGGGGAGTGGTTCAGTTCGTGAACTGCGCCCGCGTAGGCGTGTACGGACAAACATTCTCGCGCTAGGCGCCAGTGCCTCAGAGAAGCTAGTGCAGCTGATATCATGCGGTGCAAACACGCTGAAATGAAACGCAGCGCTAAGGAGCGACGATGTCTACTTTACCGACATGACTCAATTATCGGTCTTGTGTGTGCACCCGACGGTGACCGGCCGGTCTGTGGTCAAGTTCCCGAGAAAGTGGCGCGCGCCAACTACAGTCAACTCCCTCTTAACCCATAGCCCTCCAATCCCATACTCCCTGCTAACCCATGGGTTTTGCTACCCATCGTGTTTTGTCCCACCCAAATGAGTTCCGAAACCCATAACTCCCTGATATCCCATACCCCATGGGCTTGAGTGCCAAAAAACCCATACATTCGGTACTTTTAGCAGCAATAACTATCCCCAAAAGACATACATTTCAGGTCATTAGGGGAAATTTTGGTTGTGTTGTCGAATAACTTTATGAAAGTGTACTAAAGACCATGGGAAATGGCCAATATGATCGATGTTTACTATATTTTTGACGTGTTTTCTTCCATGTATTCGGCCAGGCATCCGAACTTGCACCAAGACTCAGGGGCTTGAAGCGGTATGTGATTGCATGGTACCTCGACAGCTTATGAACGATCCAAGCACTCAAAATTGTGATGTTTTCCTGGTTGTCGGCATGTCAGCTTCGGGCAGAGCTATCAAAGAGAATGTCAACATCGAAGATTAATAGTTGTGCTTCTCCTAAGGCTGCTCATCTATCAGGTTACTATTGCCTTTTCCAAATATATTTATTTTCTCTGTATTTTCTGCATCTATTTTTAGTACATTCTCCAAACCCATACTCCCCGTTAACCCATACCTGTGGGTGTCCACGAAGGGGTATGGGTTAAGAGGGAGTTGACTGTATTCACCTCGCCAGGCTCTGGGTGAACATTTCATCTCAACGCACAGTGCTCGGGATACGGCACGGTTTATGCGCACGCACACGTTTCTTTCGAAACATTAAACGCAACTTTGATGTCCATAAGGTTCCGCGACAATCGGCTGTGCTCTAGGAGCGAGGCCCTGGAAGTGCGGGGAAGGAATGTTCTTCGCGTCCTTCTTTCTCCTGATCTCCTGTTCTTCTTGCCATGTACTCAGTGAGTCAGCAAGCAATTCAACCTTTTACAGAGAATCTGGGAACACGGTCAGGGTCTTTCGCGCGCCATGACTGCGGCAATATTAATACTACCTCCGACATGCATTGGACCGGCTTGGCTCTGTTCCTAGACTGCTGTTGCATCAAGGATGTTTTTAGACCGTGATTTTCTCTCTTTTTTTTCGCACAGGCGGTTTTGTACTCATACACCAACGTTGTGTCATTTCCCTTCGAAAAGGGAATGTGGCGGAGCAACTGATGGGTAACTATATAGGATCAATGTGAACTTTACCTTGCTAACGTGCTTATCAGACAAGAAGCATATGCACTGCGACAACCATAGTCCTCAAGTACATCAGATATGAAAACATACGTCATCTTCTCCTCGAACGTGTGCTCTGATCCCTCCTCGGTGCTCTTTTGGAATGAATGCTGCGCCGCAGATTGTTCAGCACTGGTGTGGCTGCCTCGTGTACGACTGTCGCATCTGAACTCCCTCCTGATGCTCTGCACTGCATTTACGGAGATACGATAACAAAATACGTACTCGTCGGCCACAACGCGTCCGAGCTAGAATAAAGTTGATGAGTAGTGTCCATCGTGGCCGAGTCCGTGATCGCGCCATTCATGAAATCCTGAAGGAGCATGCGCCGCACACACAGAGCGCAGGCAATGCTGGCAAATGAATGAATCAGATCAAATGGATTAAGACCGAAATAAAACAATGAAATGCTCCGAAGATGAAGATCCTACGGCAAGCTAAAGCTAGGAAACTCCGCGTAATCATCGCGAATGCAGGATAGAGATACGGTATGCATCGCCCACCATGTCGAAAGGTAGAACGGGTCAACGTTGAGTCCGGCATGAGGATCAGGTCGCAAAGACCGGATAACGAGCGGCCTTCTCGGAAGTTGACGAGATAATGACGACGACAGTGATTACACAGGGAGAAAGGCAGCAAACCTTCCAATGGCGCGGAACTTAGTGCTGCTTTGAGGAGCTAAGGCCTGTTCAGCTGTTCCTGTTGCTGGAAGCGCGCCTTTACCTTCTTCACAGATTCCAGTCGAGGTCCAGGCCACGACAGGCGGCGTGCACCTTGTCGCCGCCGCCCAGCATGTTCCGAGTCGGAGACCTGGGGTTCTTCGCCTCCGATAAGTAGGTACCTGATTTCTGGGCCCTCGCAGCCACAGAGTCCACGCGTTTTCACTTGAGCTGCAGGGGAAGTGTCGTTGTCAGGCAACAGTGTCTGCGTGTCCTTGCTGACTCGGAGCACCATACACCATGAAGTGGTTTCATTGGACTTTCTCGTTGACGCTGGGGTTGACAGTGACACCGACGGCTGACGCGTTGACATTGACATTGACGCGGCGTTGCCCCTGCGACGTAGGTCCGCAGCGTTCTCGAAGATGCGAAGATTGAGCGCGCCGATGTGATACCGCCCAAGGCCGGATCACGCGCCTATCTGGTGATCGCAATAGTGACCGTGAACGGCGAGGTTGCAGCAACCCCATGCCCGTGCACTAATCTGTACGAAACAAGTTTTGGACTTTAGCTTCTTCACGTCCTAGGACACAGCCCTATGGCCTCAAGCTTCCGGATCTACAAGCTCATGTACTCTCTTTCGCCGTTTGCGTGGTCGTCGGGGAGTTCCTGGTAAAGCATGGCCACGCTCGTAGAGTTTATTCGCACGTGTGCATCATCCGCCTGATCCTCGATGGTGCTATTTTTGACAGTTGGAGCGTTGATAGCTACTTTCTAAAGTTGAGCATCGAGTTATGGGTTTACTAATTTACAACAGAGGGGATCCGTACCTGTTTCTATCACTCGCACAATGTTTCCTCCGGCCTTCGAAGGTTTGATGGTGTGATTTGCACTAACGTGACTCACTGACCAAGGAGGGAGATTCCGTGAAGTATCAGCGTGATGTTGACGGAGGAGTGGGAGTGTCGAACAGCACCTTCGTGGCGCATCTTTGGCTGTTTGTTCAGTATCTTGATCGTAGATGTCCTCAAATCTATGCATGGTTGACAGTCGGCTAGCACAGCAAACGCGGCGCGGGAGTATGATGGAGCCAGTCTTAGCGCGAAACATCCATTCTTGCCCAAGTCGCTATTATTGTGGCAGCGGCCCACGGGGACTGGGCACATGATCCACAGGAGATGAAAATGGAAGTGTGCGGGTCGTTTGTCGAGGTGTCGGCGCGGGTTCTATAGCAACAAAGGGAAGCAGATTCGCAGATCACGGTTAGGTGGTACTTCCATGTCAAGCGCTGCGCCCTGAGCAACATGCTCGCGGGAAGGCCAGTCAAGCTTACGTGAAGATCCCGATGTCGACAGGCACAGGTTCCCGAGGCCAGGTCACGAGGACATGTCTCGTAAGACGCTATTAGCTGTGCATGCGTCGTGGGGTGGCTATATGCGTATGAAAACCGCATTATTAATGAGCAGAATTTGCAAGGCGGTATGTAGTGGAATGGAAGCTCACGGCAATCATACTAGAGGGATATGCAGACATGACAATGCCGGCCACGACGTAGCCAAATAAAGATGAGACCTCCAGGCTCCACGGCGCAAGACGGATGGAGTGCTTTGCAGCCTCGGCGAGATACTCTGCCAAGCTTACCCGCTTTGAACGCCGCGTTCGAGTTTAGGTTGGTAACCGTTTTGAAGTGCGTACCTGGCTTCTCGAGGTTCAAATCGGATTTTCGGAGCAAACATTCTCGGAAAACCTCGAGGCATATCAATGAAGCGGGCTAGAGTAAGAGATGTCGGCGGTGGCTCGGAAAAGAAAAGATGATCTGACCCTCGAGGAGCCGTTGCACGGAGTAACCTACGAAGCAGTGATCAGTAGTAATCAGAATAGTCTGATTAGTACTTCAAAAGAAACTGGAACCTGCTAATGCCGCGTTCAGCCGAACCTGCTTGAGGCGGGCCGAAACCTTTGCGAAATCACCACCTTTGCACCGCCTTATCCCTGGGAGAGGTTATAGTTGAGATGGGTGCAGGCGTAGTCTCGTAATATGCGAGGAGCTCCGCGGTGGATCCGCGTAACCTGGACCATGCGATATCGAGACTCGCCGTCGCGACGGAGTTTTCGAGGTTCTTATGGGGTGTAGCTGAATGTGCTGCTTCTTACCTGGCCCATCCTCTAGTAAAGGGACGTAGTGATATTAGCGCCAGGGCCACGAAGGCGTGATAGGGCCTGGGGAGGAGGATCAGTGTATGCCGAGTGCATCCAGGATCTCAACAAAGAACTTCATTTACTCGACGTAGATAGCTTCCAGAAGAGTGTATATCGATATACGTGGGCACGCCCAAAAGGTGTTCATGGTCACGTTGTGAGAGATGAGGTGAAGGGAGTCGATGTTACGGGGTGCGACCTGGATGGATGGTGAAGGTCGGTGCGTGAAGTCGTGAGAAACGACGGGACGTGTCGCCGACGCGTGAATGAATGCGCGACCCGCCTCCATGTGACCTACTCCACCCACCACGAACAAGCTTTGCGGCTTAGGTGATACGCGTGTCTCCCAGCCACCACCATCTCTTCCCTTCTCTCATGATCTCTCATGAAAGTTTGGCGCAGCACACGAACGGTAACTTGTTGGGACACGGATCTCACCATCACACCTTCCGCGCAGGGAATTCGTCGCCGGTTTTATGAAGAGACTTCCAGATCAAGCATTCGTTCGGGCGCGGAACGGAGCATTCGGGGTGACTGTGGAGGTGCTGATCCTCGCACTACTACGTGTTTTGCGTTCACGGACAGCTGCGTAGCCGCTGAGCCCGCGCGCTATGGCGTACCTGTACGGTTTGCACGGGGCCTTCAATCTACGCTAAGTTCTACCTGGTATCAGTGGCACACACCCATAATCTGGCTATTCTTGGCTTACTTCGTCAAAATTTCGAGGGCATGTATGCGCGGACATGTCCGTTTGATCCAAGTCTGATCAGCGCTTGATCTTCCCCCTGGCTTTGCGCTCTTTGGTCGCCCCGACCATTCACCCATTCTCAGCCGCTTCGTCTGAATCGCGCGATCTCCCTCGACTTTCTCTCGAAGGGTCTACAGCGGGGTCTCCCCCAGCCGACACCTCAGCAACCGAAGGCTCTCTCGGAGTTACAAGATCAAGCAACTCTTCCCTCGAACTCCTTTTCTTCCGAGGTTGAGCTCAAACCTCGTCAATCCGGAAGACCCTTCAAGGGTGACCCGATGGGTCTATGTTGGTGGATCACTTGCCCAAAACTTCGTGCCTTCTTTTTTCTTATGTATAGTTTTTGTTCCACTGGGTTGGTTATGGTGCCACAGGGCTCAGGAAAAGGCCGCCATCTGGCCGAGCGCAGTGATACTACGCTACTCTGTTGGAGCACTGAACATGTTGGATATGTAGTGCGCCAAACTGCCTTGCCGCATGGAATCTGTAAGTCATCATATCCCCCTGGTAGCATTGACTGACTTTGTGGTCCAGCTCGATGCGCAGTGCTGTATAAACGCTTTCGATCGAAGTTGCGTTCTCTATGGTTCTCTGGGTGCATTTGGTGCACATGTCGCCAACTCGCACATTTATCTGTCTAGACTCCTCCACTGTCTTTCACTAAATTGTTAAACTTCGCTTTCCCACCGACCGTGTGGACACGGTTGTGCCTTACAGTAACATCAAGAGAATCGCTTGCTGGCGATGATTCTCTCTTGGGTGCCCCACATTTCCAACCGGGCATGTACCGCTCAATAAATCCTTTGCCAAGGCATTATCGAATCGATTGACAGCTCAAAGCAGATCCAGCGCGCATGATCTCACCCTAGCAGAAGACCAACTCAATCACGGACTTAGAAAGCCCTTCAAAATCAACGAAGCTTCGCCTCCACACGGCGCTCGTGATCCCTCGCGATTCTTTTACTCGCCTGCCCACCTTCCTCGCGCTATTCTAAGCCACCGGGGATTTCCAGATTGGACCCACGCTCACCTCGGCTGAATAAGCGAAGTCAACTCGATCACCAGTCCGTAAAGCAGCCGTGGTGGGCGCCCACCACACGGCCGTGTGCGCCTGTCGACCTTCGAGACTTCGGCTTACGACATCGAGGCTCATCGCTATGGGCAATTCGGTACCTAACTTCAATCCGAGCGAAGCGATTTCTGACCCTTCTTGGATCAGAAGACTTGAGCTGCGGACAAGGAAGGGTGCTCGTTACGAAAGCTTTCGTAGGTAAGCTCGAGATCACTCCATTTTCATTCATTGTTAAGTGCGGCTGTGGGTTCGTGGTACATATGTGATTACAGGTCGTGGCCCGTCGAGGCCGCCGGCTTCCATCCTCTCGTTATCCCACCACGGCTCTATCACCTCCTCGGCTGTGCGGCAAGTTATCCTTGTACCGGGGTCTGTCTTTACGATTCATGGTGATTCCCTGTCATTCCATCGACGGCCTTGCCCGCACCGTGTAGGTGTTGACCTGTGTCTCGGGATCAACGTTCCCTTTACTGACCGCCGGGCCGCGGTCAGAGGGTATCGCCGCAACGGTTTGTCCGCCTGTGCGAACCTTCTCGTGTCCGTCAAGCGGACGAGCGATGCAGCGGGTGTATGTTCAAGCTTGTACCTCAATCTACGAACACTGCCCTGGTACAACTGAACGAACGCAACCATTCAAACCGGAAACCTAACATTCGCTAGCAAAGCTCATGACCTGGTAAGTTTGAACCCAACCCCAACCCCGAGCCAGTGCAGCAGGCGCTCACAAGGTTTCTCTTCGCAGCATGCATAGGTCGTGAAATGAAAACAAACCTTGCCGGTATCCCCGCGACTCCGGGCCCGTCGATCCTCGAGCGGATGAGGAGTTAGGTTCCGCTGCCGGTGCCACCCCACTATTGCACCCTGCACGGACCTGGAACCATGGCCATGGCTAGGGAGTCTCTAGTGCGGGGTTGCACTATCAATCATCGACCCCGTTGTGTTGACAGGTCTAATACAACGAGCCAAACAATATTTTTAATGGACGCAGGCCCAGGAGTTAGGTCATGGGATTGCTCGCCAGACGCCCATGTGATCGCTTGCGCGTGTTGCGTGATCTACGCGTCGTGCGTTGGGAACACAGTAGCTTACTCACAGTGAGTTCTCACAGGCCGCAAGTCGCGCGCACGTGTGCTCTCCGAGGGGATCGGCCGAGCACGGAGTATCGACTCGTACCTGCCCATCTTGCCATCTTTCCAGGGGATCCCAGGTACAGTAGCTTGTGTGACCCTTGGTATACCAAGAGCTGACCTGTCGTGAGACTCATTGGGTGGAGCATCTCTGCAGGTCACATCAGGCCCGAACATTGGTGGTCGGTTTAACGGTCAACACAGGTTCACGCCTCGTGTATGCGATTGAGCGCTTTACGGCGCTCGCGGATCCCGAACGTGTCTCATGGAGACTCGTTTCATGTCTGGTCACGGTGTGTCCAAAGTTACTAGGCTACCGCTAGCTCCAACAGCTGCATAATCGGTACAAACGCAATTCGCTCGCGATTGCACCATCGCAGTTCACCGAAGAATAATATGCGTTTCGGACGCACACTCAGTCAGCAAAGGGCCAGCGACTTTACGTATTTCTGGAGCGTCCTCGAGGCTGAGGCGCTCAGGAGGGCCTCGTTTCATATATAGAACGTGACCCTCCCAGTCTCAAAGTTTCAAGGTTGCATAAGCATAGATCCCTCGTTATCGCGGTTCGGCTCGCCCGGTACGCTCCCAACAGACTCGTGCACTGCAATCCGCTGATGATCGAAACCGCCTGCTCGGAGGCCTTGTGGCCTATCCTCCTGAGCGTCTGATCTTGTGTGAAGCTGAACGTTTGGCACGGCGCTGCGGCCGCATTTCGTTTCAGAGGCTCTAAGTTCGCAAGGGTGAGGAAGCTGTGAACGTTTGAAGTTACACTTCACCTCGAGATTACAATACGTTCAAGTTTGACTGTTCCTGTCCATTATACTTGTGACAAATAGTACCCCAGGAACGCGTGAGCACATCCTGCCGAGTGAGGCAGATACGCGGTTTCCCCCCGCCGGTTCTCCGCTTGTGCTTCTTCGCCGAAGCTGAAGCGCTGAGGGTTCCCCGATACATCGGATCGTAGGTGTGTCTCCCAGTCTTGATTCGATATTTTCTCGCCACCCATCTTATTTCTGCCATCGCGCAGCACTCCACGATTCGTGTATCTTCTCGCAAGACTCGTACACTGGGAAGATCGTCCTCGAAGCCCGGGTGCCGATCAACGTGCGGGCTCACTCATGAATCCCGGTAGGGTGACGAACCCCAGGGCTTCGAGTGAAACCTGATACTCTTTGAACGCCACTTGGACGCAAATTCGAGAGTTCCGAGTTCATACCTCGTGAATGGGCCACACTAGCAGTATTGAACCAAAATTCAGGTGCTGGGCTGGGTTCGCGGATCATGAATGTTTACCCCCATCGTTGACGCCGCTGAGTGCTCGTGTGCACCCCCGACCTTTGAATGGCGATCGGTTGCCTGTCCGCGGTACCTGTAATCCGTTGCGCCTACTCACATAGACTTATCCATATGCAAACATACACGAGGCCCGGTCGGACGAGCGTTCAGTCAGATTCAGCTAATGATGCCGATTTCGCATCCACTTTGTCAGTCGGCCAAGAAAATCACCTCGACTCGGCCGATCCTCTCACTGGGAGCGCGTCGAGCCCGCCGAGCGGCGCGAAAACACGAGGTGCACGACAACTCCCCACACCCTCTCGGAACTCAACTGACGAGGCCACCAACTTGAACAGAAACAAGGTTGAGTTTGTTCCCGTCAGATTGTGCGTGGGGAGGGTCTCGCGCATGATCATGATCAGCAGTGGAGCGACCCCCTTCTTCTCTGACTCCCCCGACTTACCCTGCTGCACCTGCTAAATGCGACTGCGACCATAATATGGCTCTGGGCTGCATTGTGGGAGTGATTGGGCCAGGGCGTGTGGCATGACTGGAAGGCACGTGTGGGCGTCTGAGTGCGGGGAAGGCTCGGGGCGCGTACGACCCTGTGGTAAGCTTGGTTCATTCCAAGTTCATTCCAAGTTCATTCAGCACTCTTTCTCCGCACTCACTGGCTACCCAGGGTCCAAAGGTCTTTCATTAGAATTTGAAGGTAGCTTCGCGCATGCCTCGATCGTGTCCAATGGTCCATTGCCCAAGTATTAATGAATCAATGGGCTCACGAGTTACCTAACAGAAGGGAAATGTCACGATGCGCAGCCCACGGATGTGCAGGCGCGAGCTAAACACAAAGTTCTGGTTGGTCAGGTTCGAAGGGGTCGAAGGCCAGTTCTCGGGTATGGGGTAGCTCCATTCGAAGTCTCCAAGAAGCGTCGAGAGCGTCTCCTAACGTAACGCTCCATTCTATGAATGGTTTGGGAATCGCCCTGAAAGCGTTCGAATCGATTAGATACGCATGCCGCGATTTCCTTGATAAAGTTCGTGATCCAGGCTTCATGTTTTAGTCACCTGTATCCCGAAGCGAAATTACTCGATGTACATTGGACGGTATAAGCTTGTACCTCGATCAACAACCGCTCCAGTGAGGCATTTGTCGAAAACGCGATTAGCTTGAAGAAGCTCAGCCTAAAGAAGCCTAAAACAAGAGTTCAAATGTGTCCGCACCTCGTTCCGTTGAGCTCGTTCTGGCCCTTCCGCTGCCGATTCCGCCACGCTTCTTTCTTTCCTTCTACCGGAACTATTGCTTCCCCGATCACATTCCTGCACGCTGCGATCATGGGTTGACCTGTGGAGTGGGACCAGGGTAGTGCAGGGGCGAGCAGTGGAAGGCCCGTGGCGTGCAGCCAGCTCGCGTGTTGTGGGTCCCTGACCTGGAGGGTTCCTTCTCTTTGTGAGCCAAAAACAAAAGATACATGGCGTGCTGCCGCGCACGACGAGGACCCTTGTCGCGCCCTCGAGGCGGATGTGGAGAGATGTTCCCTCTTTACCCACACTTGCACTGCCATGGGTTCGAGTCGTATGCTTCTCTGCTCGGACTCTCAGGCTTCGGCGTTGTGACGTTGATGTCCGCGCAGAGACGTCTCGAGTCTGGGGATGGAAAGTAAACCTTGTCATTTTAGCGGATACAGACGCTCCACCTGGAACCTGGTCTTCCCGCGGGTCAAAGTTTTTCGGGTCGTGCACAGAGACCGCATAGATTCCCAAGAACAAGGTAACGGGATGGATAGAGTGCTGCTGCTGGTACCGTCTAGAATGTACTCCACACTGTAACATGTGTTTGTTCGCTGGTACATGAACGCGCCAATCCTGGGGCTTAACGGATCATGCAACCCGCGAAACCCCAAGTCCAGACGTAGGTATGCACCCCGGCGTTTTGAAGGCAATAGCAGCAAACCCCAATCCCAAAACCTCGCGTCGCCGACTCGCCCGGCACCAGAACGCCCCAGCCCCCAGCGCCTGTATGATACGGCACTTATGTACCTTGTTACGACAACACCTATCACCGGTTCCGATTTATGCCCATCCCGGAATCGAAGAGGTAATCTCATGGTTAAGGTTTAGTAGCCTGTACACAACAGCTTGAAATTTGGTTCATGAAGGTTTGATCGACGAGGGGTCGAAGCTTACCTGTACGTCATTTCCTACGTCGACGTCTTCTCACATACGGACAAGCGGGTGTTTATCTGCTTCGCTGACGACCACTTCGAGCTTGTACTTTGCGAGCGCAAGCTTTTCTTCATTGGTGAGAGTGAGCGCTGAATTCGTATCTGTCGTAGAGGAGTCGCGTCCGAGTTCAGCGAGTGAGTTGCGGAGCTTCGAAGCAAGCGTGGGGAGGTAGCCGCGCTCCGTGTTTGTATGTCCGCCTGTGTACAAGCAAAAAAGGGGCATTGGAGAAAGGTACGTCAGCGTTCAGTAAGCGCATACATCCAGTGAGGTCAAGGGTAGGGTAAGCATAGCACTGGAAGATAAAACGAGAAAGAGTGAGATCGCGTGCTTACATAGGATGACATGGTTTCCTTTGGAAACGGTAGCTAAGACGGTGTGCTAGATTGTCCACTTCTTAAGTATTTCATATGTCTATTCGAGTAAAGACTTACGTGAGGCATCTCGCCTGTGAAGTAAACATCGGCGTCTACATCGGCGAACATGGACTCGCCAGCACCGGCGCAGATGGCGACCGTACTGACCGGCCTTTCGACGTTAGGAAGGCCAACGTCAACTACGCAACAGCAAAAACAAGGTTAGGGTTTTTGCCACAACCGGAAGCCGGTGTCGTCAGACTTACCATGTTCGAGCTTGAGGTGACTCTTGACGCGCTGGACGAGATCCTGGATCGCGATTGGCTGGGGTAAAGTGACAAACCTGCCGGCGCCGCCTTCCTCGCCCTTGGCTTCACCCAAGAAACGCGTCTTGTCGCGCATATTGTCGGAGTCGTCTATTCCGCCAAGGATACCGGAAGCGAGCCAATCGTTGATGCCTCCATAAACAGAGTCAAGTGAGGTATGGGGGCAGAAGACGGACACGCCGTTAGCAGCAAGCTCGAGTAGGCACCTCTGCATAGGCGTCTTAAGGGTGAGGGCAGAGAGGGGACGAAAGATGGCGGGGTGATATGCGACAACGACGGCGGTATCGCCGGTGCGAAGGGCCTCGGCGACTACCGCGGGCGTGATGCTGGAGCATTGTCAGGTCAAGGTTGCCAGGATAACATCAAAACGCGGATTCTCACTCGATCGTCAGAAGGATGCGTCCGGCCTTTGCTTTCGGCACGGGAGATTCTGGAGTTATAGGCACACATGGTCAGACCTGTGTATACATCCAAATGTCAATGTAGGCACCTATGAGCAGACCAACCTGGTATGAATGCACAAGTCACTGAACAAAACCGTTGATCCATAGTGATCGCCACTTACGTTATCCCAAGATTCTGCCAGTCTTAGAGGAGCAATCCGCTCCATGGCCCTGCTAACAGCTTTGACAACGATGGACGACATGGTGGTGAGGGAGAGAAGAAAGGATTCGGCACGAATAGTCTCGATGACGCGGCTGAGCCCCTGCAAGGTCGCAACCCCCCTAAGCCCGACACGCGTTCATTAAAAATTGCGCCCGAGGCGCGTCCCATTCGACCACACGAACGCGGAACCAGGCTTTGTCAGTGAAGTCATCTGACTTGCTCCCCTCTGCTTACAACTCCGTTCTCTCGATTGTATCATCCATGCTCTCCTCGATATATCGAGCCATCGCTGGTCGCTTCCCAGCTTACTCCTCTACCGCCAGCATGTCCACCTCCGCCGCTAAGCAGACCGACTATAAGTCTTTCGTCAATGTACGCACACCCTTTTCTACGTCACTCCGGTACCATGATGCTAATGCAGAGGTATCTCACAGGGCGAAATCAACGCCCACACGATTACCATGTTCTTCTGGGCGACTTGTCCTTACTGCCGTGAGGCTCGCTCCATTCTCGACAAGGACTATGCTTCCGTCGACACGAACTACGTCGAGTACGTCTCTAATATAACTTCAAAGTGAACCGAGCTCACTAGCCTTCCTCTCTCCTCCCTTCCTGTGCATGCACACTACGTCAGACTTAACCGCTCGAACTCCACCGACGAGCAGATCCGGGAGTACCTCCAGCAGAAGTGGAAGCCGGATGCGTACGAGTACAAGCCCACCCACTCGCTCCCCTGCATCTTCGTCAGTGAGTAGCACCCGCTCAACTTCATGGTATATGCGCGCTGACGTCATCTCCCTTTCTTCCCTCTTCCCTCTTCTCATCTAGACGGTCACTACCTTGGAGGTTAGCACTCTGATAGTTGATATCTTGGCTTCATTGACGCTGACTATGTATGTGTAGGCTGCTCCGACCTCAAGACCGCCGTCAGCAAGAACGGGTTCCAGAAGCTCATTGACAGTCCCAAGGAGACCGTCGCCTGACTGGATGGACCACATACCACTCACAATGGCAAGCTCTAACATTGCTCACTGGGGCATTTAGACACAGTTTGCATGATAAGATGATATGATACGTGTTCTTTAATAGATGTGCTGTATTCCTATGTGCCAACGCATGTGTTGAACAGTATGTTGACTGGCTTAGGACTCTGAACCACCGTTAGTCGTGGGCTGTGGGCCCTTCCTTGTTTTTACAGCTTGTCAATCAGGTACGCCAGTCAATGTGGTGCAAGTAGGCCTAGGCGAACGGGTCAAAGTCACTGTTTCTGTGCGTTATAGGTAAAGTTTGTGGTCGTCGCAATCGCCATCACCAGACGCTCGCGCTGCTATCTCGACGATGTTCTGATGACGGATCTATACCTTAGAGGTAACCAGAACCTTGTACGTTTGTCGTTCGTAAACCCGGCGCTGCCGAGGATCTCTCTTCAGACAGCTTGCTGATGGTACAAAGTGTTTATAGAGGGATGATACGGGTCTATAACCTCGCGATTGTCCAACGATTAGCATAGGCCGAAAAAGTTGAGGAAGCACTATATTCCATCTTTGAAGGAGGTTCACTGTAAGAGTCTTGATGTCAGGTGCGCTTTTTTGACCTCACTCTACTTCCTAGTGCAAACGACGCGGATGAACGAAAGAACTATTCCAAAGAAATTATTGTCGGATTTACTCCAGTCTTGCAAGCTACCATCTGGAGCATTTCTTCCGCTCACAACGTAGCGCCCGCTTCAGTGACAGTACCTGGAAGTCTCTGGAGACCTCCGCGGAGATGCGAAGGACTTGCTGTGATGTTTGAAATAGGAAGGTCGGGGACCAATCAGTGTAAAGTGGCGGGACTGGTCTCTTCCACTGGCATCTGAGCGTTCATCAACTCGGCCGACTCGAAGGCGCTGAGTGAGTGCAACGACAATGATCCTCGGGCATATGTTGCGGGTTTCTGGTTGGCTGAGACAGAGATTACAGTACAAGCCGCGGACACAGGAGGCTCCATAGTTAAATTCGCCGCTACGGGTATTCCAATGTCAGAAGGGAGAGAGAAAGGCATGACAAAGGACTGACGCGAGTATAGCTAGGATGTCTATGAAAGCGCAGACTCACCGGGCAGTTAGTATTGAAGGTTGAGTAGTAGCGGGTTAGGCTGATAGCTGACGATGGTAGTCGTTCGGTGGAGAGAGAAGACTTAGATGATATTCATGGTAGCGACTGTATATATATGACAGGAGCGTGTGAAGTCACTACCGTATTCGTAACTACTATGCAGTCCAAGTCCCGCGGTAATGCAGGACGGCTACGTAAGCAGAACGTGGCCCTATGCGATGAACGCGGAGCCACACGAGTGCGTAAGCGCTTAAAGTACCTATGGGATACTAAGCGCCTGAATAGACGTATGAAGGCGGTGTTTACTTGTAGACCTCGTAGAGGAACATCGCCGTACAGGAGGCTTCTGGATGAACCAATAAAGCCGTAAAGGGACGAATACTAGACGTAAATCTGACACCCCCCCTCGAATCGTATTCGCTTTACTGCTTGAGCAATGGCGTTTTGAAGAAAA